CGCTCAGAGACCTCCAGCCTGGGCCCTGGTGTCTTCGCAGGAAACGGAGGTCTTCTGTCCAGATTGCAGGTGAGTTAGAAGAAGCAGAACCCAGAGTGCGCCTGCATTGCAAGAGTCTGTTCTCAGACGTATGTTTCAGATACCCAGAGTGGGGAGGATATGCAGAGCAGAAGTAAGATCTAGATCCTGGACCCTCCTGGGTTTGGGCCCTTTCCATTGGAAACCGGGAATCAGCACCGACTCCCTTCAGAAATGGTTGGTGCACAGGCTTCCGACAAGCCTCTGCTCACGGCTATCTCTGGGTTAATCCGGGTCGACTCCTGACAGTGAACACTGGGGTCAGAGAATAGACAGTCACCCCGCCCCCAACCTCGATGACCAGCGTGTCCTCACTTTGGTTTTGAAGCCACACCCCCTGGTTCTCAGGGGATGGGCTGTGCTGGGAAATGAGCTGAGGCCTCTGGGCTCAACCCTTGAGCCCTCTAGCCTCTCGTCATGTCTCATTGGGTCTCTGTGTTGAGTTCTTGCTTGGTGTCCCTGTGACCACTGTCAGGGCCCAGATGGAAAAACAGGGTCAAGAGCTAAACTGTCCAGTGGGATTGGAGCCCCGGGAAGCACCCGACGCGTGTCCAGTATCCACAGGAGGACCTACTTTTCGCCTGTCCCTTGGGAAGACAGCTTGTCTGTCCGGGCTCTACTCCAGTGGACATGAAGGAAGGGCCAGTGACCCAGGGGTCGGGTCCTGTGCCTCGGGCTGAGCCTGGGTGTGGGGGTGCGGGGCTTCTCTCTGCGTGCATGGGTGCCCTTGACCTATGTGCAGCCTCAGAGGCCCGGCCCCCCTGTGTCAGGTGGCGAGTGGGAGACAGCCACAGCCTCCCACCTGCTTCCTGCCTCTGGGGTTTGTCCCTCACGTACCCCGAGTACATGGGATTCATAGCCCATGTCTTTGCACAGCAAGAAGCTTCTTTCCTGCCGGTTCCACACTGGTGGGTCCCAGTGCAGAGCTGCCCTCCTGGGGCTGTTCTCGCTGGAGCTGGGGAGGACAGCCCCGGGAGACCAACAGACCGGTGGGGACACGGACTCTGTATCCCAGGAGATGGTTGCTGACCTGGACCAGGGCCGAGTGCCGGCCCTCAGCTCATCCCCTCCACAAGGACACTTCCTCCTCCGGGCTTTCTGCCGACGGCTGCAGGCTCTGCCGGGCGGGTGGGACGGAGCCGCCCGCCTTCGAAGACAGCAGGAGCTGGTTGTCTGCCAGTGGTGAGGCGGCGTCTCCCGGGCCAGGCCACGCGTGTGCCCGCACTCCCCGCCCCGTGGCTGCTCCCCTGAGGGTGTGGGGGATGACCTTGGACGAAGGTCTTGGGCTGACAGACCTTGCATGGCGCAGCCCCTTTTCGGGCTCGGCTGAGAGTAGGTCCTACGTCTTACACCACCAGGTGTGACCCCCAGAACAGACTTAGGCAGTTTGACAAGATCATCTCGTCAGACCCCAAGGGCCTGGGCAGAGATGTGGTCTGAGGGTCAGTGTCAGAGAAGGAGGGGAGCAGGGGGCTGATGCTTCTGCACCTGGGCAGGAGGCTGGAGGGCAGGGCTGCAGGCTGGACACTGCCTCACCGCTGCCCCTCCCAGGGTCCTCGTCAGCCTGCCTCCAACTCTGCTCGTCGGCAGCCCTCAGGAAGACCTGCCTGTCCCCGACTGTGCCGAGTTCTTTCACTTGGTCAACTCAGAGCTGGTAGGTGTGGGGCGGGGCTGCCGTGTCCACGGGGCGTCCGAGGAGTCTCGTGAGGGCCAGACCTGGGCGTGTGGTTCTGTTCACAGCCAGTGCGACCGTTGGCCCTCAAGAGCAGTCACCCTTCAGCAAGGAGCCTGGTCGGGGCTTGGGCAACACAGCTCGTACCCAGCCTTGGCCCTTGGCCCTGGTCCCGATGTGACCCTCGCTTGGAAATGCAGAGATGGAGGCTGGGTCTCTCAGCAGGGAGCAGGGGCAAGCTCTACTCAAGTGCTCCCAGAGCCTGCCCCCTGGGTGGCCCCCAGAGGCCCGTGACATGTAGGGGAGCCTAGTCCTCCCCTCCATGTCAGAACCAGAGCTGGTGGGCAGGGGATCAGTTGCACAGAGAAGTGGTGTAGAGAGGCAGTGAGCAAAAAAGATTCTAGAACGGTGCGTTGACAGTGGGAAACTCTCACACCCGGTCCTGCTTTGCAGAGAAACATCTGCTCCCACGAAGGTGCTCTGAGCCACGCCATCACCGCCCACTTCTTCAGGGTAATTCCAGTTCACACACCTGCCATCCTCAGACTGGGTCCGTGGCCAGTCTGAGACTCCAGCTCAGCTGTCCCCACAGGGTCTCCTCGCTGCCTGCTTGAGAAGCAGAGATCCCTCCCTGACGGCCAACGGGACCCTGGAGGCGTGCTGGGCTGAGTGCCCCCTGCTGGTGACCTCCGCCCTGGTAGGCCGCCCTGGCCCACGGCAGCCCCTCTGCCCACACCTGATCCCACTGTCACTGCAGAGGTGGTGCTGGATTTGGGAGCAGCTGTCCCCACCTCCTGTGGCTCCATCCGTGGTGGCGGCGAGGGCCGCTGTCCCTCGTGTCTGTGCGCGGGAGCTCTGGCCACCCCTCTGCGGGGCACTGTCCAAACGTGATCCTGGGGGCTGAGCTGCGTCTGACCGACCCAGCTGCTCTCCATTCACTGACCTTCCTCATCCAAGCTGTGGTGGCCACGTCTGGAGGCTGAGCTTGAGAGTCGGTGGGCCAGATGCTCGGCCGGCCCCCTGCCCAGGGAGCTGCAGCGGCTGCGAGAGACCCAGCTCTTTGCCGCGAGGTCAGTGTGGGCAGGGTGGGACGCTGGGGCTTCTGCAGCGCCAGACAGGACTCCTCGCGTGTTTAGCCCACCCTGAGCCTGTTTGTCTCTGCCACGTCTCCTGAGCACTCTATACCCGGCCTCACCCCGGGACCGTCCCCAGGCAGGGCCAAGATTGGGGCGCAGACAGCAGCCAGGTGACTGGTAACCCCTGGGCCCCTTCTCCTGCAGCCTCCTATCCACTGACACGCTGCCCCCACCGCCCAGCCCGGCCTGGGCCCTTGCCGCAGCCTTGCATTTCTCCATTTGGCGAGCAGGACAGGAGAGTGTCCAGCGTCAGCTGGGGCGGCTACCCTCAGCCCCAGGGGAGCAGGTGAGCCCAGGCCCCAGGGCCCACCCGGAAGTCCACGTTCCTGGGGCTCTGGCCGGGAGTGGAGTTGGCAGGTTTGGTGGCCCGCACACTGCCTTGACATGCTTGGCCTTCCTCCTTGCCAGCTGTCCCCAGGGTGGCAGCTTTGCTCTGCCTGTGCACCTCAGCCAGAAACCACGGAGGCTGGACCAGTCAGCCCTAAGGTCTCTGTCAGCTCAGGCAACCGGCAGCTGAGAGTTTAGTGCAATGAAATGTGAATGGCTGCGAGGAGGAATATACTCCTAGGTTTGTGTTCCTAAGGGGTCACTAAGGCTTCCAGGGGTCCCCAGCCTGGACTTGTGTGCCACTTGCCTGGGGCAGGAGGCGGCTGCACATCAGGTCCTGGGACTCAGACACACCGTGGCAGGGACAGGCATGGCCAGTACCTGTGAGGAACTGCCACATCTCCGTGGCATTTGTCTGTGTTAGGGGCACCTAGTGTGACCCCTCAGGACACTTCGAGCCTCAAAGGAATGAGCTTTCTGGCACAAGTGCAAACACCCGAGAGGCCCCCGGGCCGCACACTCAGCTAGATGCGGTCACGGACAGGCGGTGTGCGTGTCCTGAGGCCCATCTCGCCCACAGCAGCTGCTCTGCTTGTTCTTCTTCTCCCTGATGTGCCTGCTCTCCTCATACCTGGCTGCACAGGTGAGCCGCAGACCTGAGCCTGGGAAGGCATGCCTGCTGCCTTGCGGGGGCCGTGGGTGGGGGCACTTACAGGGGAGTGCTGTCCCTCCCGCCGTGGTCACAGGCTGCCGACTCCAAGAAGGCTCTGGGCATCTGTGCCGAGATCCTAGGGTGTCTGGAGATGAGGAGGATTTCCTGGCTGCAGCTCTTCGAGTTGAAAGAGGCAGGTGAGGTGCGGTGGGACTCGGTGCTGGACACAGCTGAGCCCCGCTTGGAGGCCTCCCTGGGGGTGGAGCCAGAAACTGCAGTGCCCCCCATCCCAGCAGGGCCGACTGCACAGTGCTGAGTGGCGGCCCCCTCTCGCACAGCACAGCACAGCACAGCACAGCACCCGATGTTCCCAGAAGGCGCTCCTGGGGGTGGGGGTGCGCCCAAGGGCTGGCTGAGACCCCCACCCCACGCTGTTGCAGGTAACGGCCTGGGAAGTGTCCTGCTCCGTCTGGCCCCCGACCAGCACATCCGGCTGCTGCCCTTTGCCTTCTACAGGTAATTGTGCCTGTGGCTCAGGGCTCCTCCCTGGACTCGGCTCCCACCCTGGGGTGCTGACACCACACCGTGTTCCCTTTCAGTCTCCTTCCCCACTTTGGTCAAGACGTCCTCTTGGAAGCGGGTTTCCTGTGTGTCGCCCTGAGCATGTACCGGAAGCTGACCGGGCTCTTTGTGGGCGGAGAGACCCAGCCCGTGACTGGCCCTGGGCAGCACAGGCAGGACCAGGCAAGTGCAGGGCAGGAGGTCTGGGCTGCTCGGGGCCCACCGGCCCCTCCCAGGGTCCACAGCTCGAACCCTCTGCTCCCTAGGAAGAGCCTGTGGGCTTGATCACGAAAGCACGCCTCTTCCTGCTGCGGGCCATTCCTCAGTGTCCGGCACAGAGCTGCTCTAGCGTGGCCGAGGTAACAGCCAGCCCTGGGCCTGCGTGGGGGCTCTGGGGGGCTTGGCCTCGACCCTGAGCACCCTCTTTCCTTGCAGCTGCTGGGAGCTGCTGGGGACGGCGAGCCCGAGCTGCGTGCTGCCCTCCAGAGCAGGCTGCAGGCCACCGCCGACCTTCTCCAGGAGCCCCCGCTTTTCTGAGAGGACCAAGCATCACCAGCTCCTTGTAAATAATTTATTACAAGTGAAACGTTGAGCTGTTGTTGCACTAAAATGATTACAAAAGTCCTGGATTGCTCTAGGGAGAAGGGGAATCAGACACGCCTGGCCGGTCACTCAGGTTTACAGGAAGAGAGACTGCTGGTCCCAGGAAGAGGCGCCACCGGGGGAGCCAGTGTGGCCTCCGGAGGTCAGGTTGGCTCCGGCTTCACAGCTCCGGGCCCGGGCGGGGCCTTGTCCTGAGCCTGTGTCAGTGGGTGGACCATGGACATGTGCACGTTGAGGTTGTGAGCCTTCTCGAACCTCCGGCCACACTGGTCACAGGCGAAGTCCAGCTCTGTCTCCGCCTTGTGCTTGGTCATGTGGTACTTGAGGGACGCCCGCTGCCGGCACTGGAACCCGCAGACCTCACACCTGGGGGGCAGGGCCGGGTGAGTGGGTGCACGTGCCAGGCCCGGCGGGCACGGGGGTCGGAGGGGCACTCACTGCAGGGGCTTGGCTCCCGAGTGGCGCATCTGGTGGACGAGCAGGTGTTTGCGCTGCTTGAAGGTCTGTCCGCACTCGTCGCAGATGTAGTTCCGCACCTCTGCGGGCCAGAGTGGGGGCTGAGCTTGTCAGGCAGGCCCCCTCCCCAGCCCAGCAGAGCACATGGGGGGCGGGGGGGGCAGGGCACGCACCTGTGTGGATGAGTTTCAGGTGGCGCTGCAGGTATCGGTCGATCATGAAGACCTTGTTGCAGCCGGGGTAGGGGCAGGGCCGCTCACGGACCTCCTCGTGATACTCCTTGATGTGCTTCTGTGGGCCACCGGCAACCCCTGAGGGTCTGGCCCACGGGACGCCTCCTCCCTCCCCCAGGACCAGGCTTGGGGCCCCGCACAGCTCACCTTCATGCCGTCGGCCCCGCGGTACACGGCAGTGCAACCCTGGTGTGGGCACTTGTAGATGGTGGGCAGCTCCTCCCTGCAGCACAGAGCGAGCCCGGGTCAGCCCCCGCCACAGCAGCAGCAGGCCCCTGCCCCCTGCCCCTGCCCTCACCTCTCACAGCGCAGCTTGCTCTTCCAGCCTGGCTTGGGGCCAGGCTTCTTCCGGATTTTTGGTTCTTCGGGTTTCTTGGCATCTTTGCTTTCGCTCTTCTTAGCAGAGAGCCTAGAAAGCCCCAGTGATCGGACGTGGGCACACTGGCCTCCTGCAGCGCCCGCCCCAGACACAGCCAGGTTCCCGGCTCCCTGCTAAGCCAATGGAGTGGGGAAGTCTGGGGCAGGACACGCTGTGAGAGGTCAGGCTCCTCCCGCCGGCAGCGCCCCACCCCGGGGACCACACGCTAGCCACAGATGAGGTGGGGCTCCACTGGCACTGCCCGGGGGCCCGCAGCGCTTGAAGATGAAGGGTGCTCAAGTCTTCAGATGTCCCAAAAACTCACAGGGAGGAAGGGATTCCCAGGGAAAATCTGGAACCCCAGAGGCCCTGACCCTGTGCTGCGTCCACACCGTGAGGTTGGCCCCCGAGGACAGGCCTAGCTCAGGGGCTCCGCGCTGCTCTGAGGCCAAGGCGGAAAAGGAAAACAGCAAGTCCCTGTTCCCGCAGCCGACAGCCTCAGCACACAGGTCCTGATGTGGACTCGGGCTCCATAAGCACCCAGGGAAAGGCGCACGGCAGGCGAGCGAGGAGATGGCACTGTGCCCACGGGCCCCTAGAGCCCCACCGGGGGATGCGGCACCCAGAGCCTCAGCGCTCAGCAGCGCCATGGCCGTGACCGTTCTCCCATCTGACACCAGGCTGTACCTCGAAGGAAACTGTGCAGCCAGTGGTGCTGTCCAGTGAAAAAGATGGCCCACCGAGCAGCAGAAACCATTTGCCAGTCTGACCTAGCCAGGGAGCATGATGCAGAATGGCCTACAGCTCAACACACACTCCAGAGAGAACATGGGCAGGAGTTAGCAGACATTTTCCAGGGGTGTGTCAGGACCTAGTTGTCCATGTAAGCCCATCACTGCCCATCAAGATAGGGTGCTCAGGGACAATGAGATGCCACCTGCCCCCACAAAGATGAGCACACAAAGTACCAGTGTTGGCACAGATGCCAGAAGCCAGCCCTGGAGCCTCGGAACCATCAGCCAAGAGAGACTGTGGCTTTGGGTCTAGCTCAGGGGCTCAGAACATCAGCACAAGCTCCCAAGCACTTGCGGGAGCACAATGTCCTCAGCACGCAGAGCCAGCCAAGCCAACAATCCAGGCGTGAACACCGTGGAGGAGAGCAAGAGGCTGAGGCAGGGCTGGCACTGGGCTGCTGACAAGGTGGAAACCACAGCTTTGGGAGAGTGACCTGGGGAAGACAGCGGCACAGCACCCACCGTCTTTAAAGTGCAAACATTCCACAGCAGAATCGCTGATGTGTTTTTGAAGCGGTCACTGAGAAAGGCCCCTTCCCAGCTGAGGGCTCCGGCAAGACCACAGGGTTCACACACGGCACCTGCTCCCCACCCCTCTGCAGCCTGATTGCTCCCAGGCCCTCGGCCCTGCTGGCACTGGTGTTTCACAGCAAGGCGCTGGCGGCCACAGGTCTAAGCGTCTCAGCACCTCCCCTCCCGCAGGCCCATGTCCAGCCACATCCCGTCTGCCTGCTGCCCATCTCAGCCGGGCATGGTGCTCTTCAGTGTCCCTGGACTGTCCATCCCCCTGGAGGATCTGTCCTGCACGGGCTCCAACCACCCCGAGCTCGTGCCTCCTCTGCCTGCTGTTCTCTAGAACCACCCAAGGAGAACAGGCAGCCCCCATGCCAGCGGCCTGCAGGGACTGCTGGGAAGGCCAGGGCGCGTCGCCGCATCCGCTGGGCTAGAGCAGGGAGACCCCGCCCCTGCCCTGCAGGACCACCATTTACCTCTTTTCTGGGTAAGGCTCAAAGGACTCGTCTGAGGATGGCACGTGCTTCCTGTCATTCTCATCCTCGCTCGGGAAGCCTCTAGAGGAGAGGGGGGGCTCTTCACTACAACCCTGGCAGGGCAACGCTGTCAACCTCCTGCCTGAGGACCCCACGTCCCCCGCTTTCCTTCTGAAAACCCCCAAATCTCAGTCATCTCCAAACAGAAAAGGCCACAGGAGCCACACAAGCCGAGTGCCCCCGTCGCCAAGGGAAAGTGTCTCTAAGCACAGGCGGAGCTGGGGACAGAACAGCTCAGGGAACCACACCTGGCCCCTGCACTCAGGTCAAAGGCTACAGGCCAAACTGACTTGCAGGACCGTGACCTTCCCCCAAAGCCAGTGCACCGCAGCCATCCCCGCCACTCGCACCGTCACCCTAGTGCTGACAGCCGTCAGCGGCCCCTCTGGGAAGTCTGGTCCTGCAGAATGACCCCCCCGAGCCCAGACCACACCTCGGGACACGGCTTCCCCTGCTCAGCCGGACAATCCCAATCTCAGCCCCACGCCGCCTGGCAGAGCAGCGTCAGTGCTCCCGGGGCAGCGGGGCCCTCTGCCACCCAGGGAAGCCCACCAGGGGCAAGTGGCCAAGCCCAGCAGCAAGGCCCCGGGACGGTGTGGTCTGGCTTTCCAAGGAGAGATTTTAGGCTACTGAGACCCGCTCTTCTCTCACCCCTCAGAAAGGTCACTGAACTCGTCTTTTACCCGATCATCCGAGGCTGAAGGTGGAGCCTGCTTCTCCCCCAACTGCCCTGAGAGAGAAAGAACAGCGTCATCACCACCTGGGCGGGCGCTCTTGTGGGGGAGGCACCCACAAGCCTGCCTCCAGGGCAGGTCCTCCCCGTGACCTGCGACCCCACTGTCCTGTGGGATGAGCTGGGGACAGTTCAGACTCTGTACAGAGGGTCCCCTGCAGGCAAACAAAGGCGACTGTCCAACTGTCCGGTAGCTGCACCTGTTCTCACTTGTCTTGGGTGTTGGGGTAACACACACAGGACAGGCTGACAAAGTCCTGCCAGTCAGGCCTCATGGGGTGGAGGCCCAGCAGGAGCCAGGCAGCTCCCCTCTTCCTGCACTCCCAGGGCTCGTTTCTGGCTTGTGCCCTCACCAAGGATGCTCCCAGAGGCAGCATGCCATCCCACCCCCCAAAGTGTGGACCCCCTTCTCAGAGGCCAGGACTCCTTTTTTTTTTTGCTTTTTGGTTCACACTCAGCAATGCTCAGGGGTTACTCCTGGCTTTGCACTCAGGGGTTACTCCTGGCGGTGCCTGGGGGACCGTATGGGATGCCGGGGATTGAACCCGGGTCGGCCGCGTGCAAGGCAAATGCCCCACCCGCTGTGCTATCGCTCCGGCCCCAAGGCCAGGGCTCTTGATCTGGGGTTAGAGGCACCTCCTACCTGAGTTCCCTCTCAAGGGAAGGTTCGGCGGAGGTGGGGGACCTGGTCCAGGCCCCATTGGGTTGCCATCGGAAGGCAGCTGGGCCGTGTCCGTCCTGGGCTGGGTCTCCGTCTCAGTAACCCTGGCAGCCAGGGTTGGTCGGCCTGGGGAGGGCTGAGGAGTGGCCCCAGTAGGGTTGGTCCCCTGATGCTGGGTGGGCTGGGAGGCTAGCTCCTTGTCCCACGCCCACTTGATGGCCGGTGAGTTGTCCAGCAGGAGAGCCCCACAGCTGGCGTCGGTGTCCATGGTGTAGCGATGGCCCTGGGCACAGCCCCACACAGCCTGGAGGACGCCGCGGTATCCAGAGGAAAGCGTCTGCTGGAGGCTGGGCAGGGCCCCACAGCCAGCTGCGTGTCCATGCACCCACCCCACCAAGCCACGCAGGCCCTGGGTGCTTGGGCTCATGTGGTCGGCTGAGGAAAGGCACAGAGAGCCCACTCAGGGGCTGCTCAGCACCCAACCTGGCAGAGCCCACCCACTCTCCGTGCCCGGGGACACTCACCCATGCACGCTGCCTCCTCTGGCCCTGTCAGGGGCTGGGCACTGGCCCTGCAAGAACCACCTGTGAAGCCGGCCCCAGGCAAGCCATCCCGCCCCCCCGCCCTTCCCCAGCCAGCTGGCCCCTCAGAGGCCAGGGGCCATCTGCCCACCAACCCCCTCCCCCAAGCTGCCACACAGGAGCTGCCCCCAGAGTCCCCCCGGAGCACAGAGGCTGCTTACTGGGCACGGGGCTGGCGGAGGGCGGCTGGGGAGGCGTTCACCCTCTGCAGGAAGGACGTGAGGAGGCCGTGGCAGTGGTAGAACTGGCTCAGGCAGTTCTTGCAGACGAACGGAGACAGGGCTGCATCCTGGTGCACGGTCACCCCCAGCAGACACTGAAAGTCTCTGACGAAAACGCGCTCTCGGGGGGCTGGTTTCTCGGAGCCGTCCCCGGGGACACAGCCAGAGATGCTGCGGAGACTCCGCGAGGAGAACCGCCCGTGACAGAGGCGACAGTGCCCCATGGCCGGAGCCCGGCCTGCTCCTGGACAGGAGACGGGAATCAGTCCACGAGGCCCCCTGGCACCTCCCCAGCAAAACACCCCACAGATGCAAGTCCTTCCTGGGTGCGTGGCCAGGGTGGGTCTGGCCCACACAACTCCCGTGGAAGTGCAGGTGCGCCACGTGAGGCCCACGTCCCGGGGAAGGGCCTCTAACAGACCCCAGCCGCCCTGCCGGACAGCGAGGCAGAAGCTCCCGACAAGCCCAATGTCAACCAACCAGCTGCCCCAGCACAGGGAAGGTGACCCACAAGCCAAGGGGGACTTATTTCTGGGGAACAAGGAGGGTCAAGGGTGGTTTGCCATCCACGAAAGGTGATGTGATAATGTCAGCAAGGAGATGAAAATCACAATACAGGCAAATGACTGAGGCCGCAGTAATAGCGATGGAAGGGCGTTTGCCTTGCACGGGGCTATTCCTTCTGATCCCCCGAGCCCACCAGGAGTGACCCCTGAGCTCCACTGGGTGCAGCAGCCTAAAACCCTCTTAAAAACCCCACCTAGGAGCTGGAGCGACAGCACAGCGGGCAGGGCATATACCTTGCACGTGGCCGACCCGGGTTCGATTCCCAGCATCCCATATGGTCCCCGAGCACCGTCAGGAGTCATTCCTGAGTGCAGAACCAGAAGTAACCCCTGTGTATTGCCAGGTATGACCCAAAAAGAAAAAAACAACTACAACAAAAAAACACCTAAATAAAATTGAATACACAAAAATCAGTGCCATTTGTTTCGTTCTTCTCGAGGGCAGGAGGCACATGCAGCAATGCTCGGGGGTTACTCCTGTAGGGTCAGGGGGCCACACAGGATGCCGAGAATCAAACCCGAGTCAGCCGCATGCAGTTTCTTTGACCCACATCAGTGGCATTTTTATATACTGGTAAACTCAAGGACAGAGGCAGAAGTACAAAGCTCTGCATTATTTACTTGGTTTTGATGTATGGGCCACACCCAGCAGTGCTCAGGGCTTACTCCCGGCTCTGTGCTCAGGGATCATTCCTGGTGGTGCTCGGGGGACCCTATGGGATGGCAGTGGCAGAGCCTGTGTCAGCCACGGAAGGGGGCCACTCGCCCACAACTGCAGCAACGCCACCTGGGAATGAAGCTAGCGAGACGTGGGAGGTCTGTGTAAGGCACAGTGTGAGCGGGGCCACTGCACAGGATTCACCTGGTGGAGCAGGAACAGCAGGACAGCAGGGAGGGTGCAGCCCTGGCACGCTGGCGACCCAGATGGTCCCCAGAGCCCCGCCACGAGCACAGGGTCAGGAGTGACTCCTGAGCATCGCCGGAGCAGCCCCCAAACAAACAGAAAGGTCCCCCTCGCGAGGAGAGCGCTGGCCTTGCACGCGGCCAACTCGGGCTCAACCCCCAACATCCCACGTCGTTCCCTGAGCCCTGCCAGGAGTGATCCCTGAGTGCAGGGCCAGGAGGAAGCCTTGAGCACTGCTGGGTGTGGCCCCAAAACAAGACCAATGTGGATGAGAGGCCTAATAAGCACACTGAAAGGAACTCAGAAAAGCACGATGATCATTCCAGGTGTTTCTGGGGGCTGACCCCAAGCGCAGGCAATGAACGCAACGTGACCCGCCGAGACCAATTACACGGTGGAGAGCACACAATTAGCAGAGAAGGGAGAGGTCGTTTGCACGCATCTAACAGGAGGTTGATATTCGACGTATACAGAGAACCCTCACGCAGAAAGGGCAAACAACTCAACAAGAAAATAAAGGGCTGACGTGAACAAGAGTCGTCCAAAGATCTACAGCCGGCCAGAGGCACACGGGGTGAGTCACAGGACGCCCCTGTGGTGTCACCTCGGTATTTATTTTGCACCTGTGATAAAGAGAAAGAAGAACTGGACATATGCACTTGACGGACTCAAAGGTCTCCAGAAGGGATAAGGTCAAATGAGAAGATGAATTTGAGCTAAGGGGGGTATGTGTGGTGGGGAGGTAGGTTATTTTTGATTTTTTTAAAAAATTAAAACGGGCTGGAGCGATAGCACAGCAGGGAGGGCGCTTGCCTTGCATGCAGCCAACCCAGGTTTGATTCCCAGCATCCCATATAGTCCCCCGAGCACCGCCAGGAGTAATTCCTGAACGCATAAGCCAGAAGTAACCCCTGTGCATCACCAGGTGTGACCTCAAAAAGAAAAAAAAATTAAAACAAGAGGCTAGCATGATAGTACAGCGGCGATAGTGACACTTACTTGGTTTGCACTTGGCTAACCCGGGTTCAATCCCCAGCATCTCATATGGTCCCCTGAGCACCACCAGGAGTGATTTCTGATTTCAGTGTCAGGAGTGACCCATGAGCACTGCTGGGTGTGGCCCAGAAGCCAAAAGAAAAACAAAAATCGACAGGCCAGAAGGGGCCAGGCAGAGCTCATGCCTACGTATGTGAGGCCTCGGGTTCTATTGCTACACCTCAAAAACGAGTAAGACTTGATGGGGCTGAGGGCCTTGAGCACCACCAGATATGACCCCAAAGCGAGAAGTAAATGAGGTTGAGGTTGAAGAGACAGAACAGGGGATAAGGCACTTGACTGCATGTGGCCAACTTGGTTCGATCTTGCTCACAGTCTCCCAAACCCAGCCAGGAGTGATCTCTGAGCAGAGAGCCAGGAGCAAGCCCTAATTACAGCTGGGTATGGCCCAAACACTAAAAAGGAAAGTAATGGGGGGTCCGGAGCGATAATATAGCAGGTAGGGCGGCTACCTTGCACACGGCCTGCCCCAGCTTGATCCCCGATACCCCAAATGGTCCACGGAGCACTGTCACAAGTAAACCCTGAGCACAGCTAAGTGCGGCTCAAAAGCAAACAAAATGAATGAGGCAACTGCAAGGGAGCGTGATCGAACCTCAGGGCCCAGCGAGTCTCCAAGGAGACAATGGCCAGGCCCCAAAAGTCCAGTGGGCCGAGGGCACAGGAAGGCTGGAGCACAGTGGTCCCCAGAGCTGATCTCTGGTCACTGGGGGTCGGGTCGGGGAGCCGGGGGCAGAATCATCGGGGCGGGGAGACGGCCCAGCTGAAATGGATGAGTCAGTCACAGCGAGACCAGAGCAACGAGAACATCTGTGGGAGGGGGGCCAGAGAGCACAAGTGTGAGGCCTGGAGTGGCCGTCCCACCAAACAAGGCACGTGAGCTTTGTGGGATGTTGTGCAAGCAGCCTTGATCGAGAGCCTTGCTAGGGGCCTGGGACAGCCTGGACAGGGGGGTCCTGAGGTTGGTAAGAACAAGCGCAGGTGAGAACATGGAGAGACCAGACCACCCAGCCGAGGTGGAAGTGCATCCCACGTGAGAAAGCTCACAGCTGTGGGGCCCAGGAAGGTGCAGGTGGGCGGGCACTTGCCTTGCCTGCGGGAACCACTGAGCACCACTTCCGGGCCTCTGAAGGGGACACGGGCAGGCACTCAGGAAACCATCTGCCAGGCTAGAGGGGACCCGGGCTGCAGCTCTGCAGGTGGGAGGCCCAAATTCAATATCCAGCACCCTTGGGCTCCTCCCTAGAATGACATCTGCATCCCAAGTCCTCAGCACTATCCACAAAGCCAAGCCCAGGTGCCTGTGGTAGAAAGCATGGTCTGCCCGCTGCAGAGGGGGCGGCAGAAGACCTGGGTGCACCTGGGCTGGGCGGAACTGAAACAGTGTACAGCTACAGACACAAGATCATCTTCAATACACGTATCAAAAATTGGGGGAGACTTGTAACAATCTGAACGCAACTGCAGACAAACATCTGTGTCATTTGATAATCACTGACTTTTTAAAAATATTTTTATTTTGCTTCTTGGGTCGCACCTGGCGATGCTCAGGGGTTACTCCTGGCTCTGCACTCAGGAGTTACTCCCGGCGGCGCTCGGGGGACCTTATGGGATGCTGGGAATTGAACCCGGGTTGGCTGCGTGCAAGGCAAACGCCCTCCCCGCTGTGCTATCGCTCCAGCCCTCAATCACTGATTTTTTAATGAAAAGATTCTTTAAAATTAACAGAAGGAAACCATGTGACTATGGGGGGGGTTCTACATGACGTCAAGTTTAATGGTTGGGCCCCACCCCCTAATAAAAATAAGTGGAGAGAATTAGGTATGCCACAAATGCATCAAGAACCTACTATGCTCACTCACTGGTCTGTGTTCGGGGCCACTGTCCCTCTGCCCACTCTGCTCTGGAGCCTACCTGACTCCAGGAGGCCCACTGAGGCCCCCGGTGTGTTTGTGAGAGCTTCCAGGGCACACTCGAGCACTGCGGAGGGAGCACCCTAACACAAGCGGCACAACAGTGCGCCCCGCATCAGCACCGGCAGAAGCCGAGCCCGGAGCCCTGCTCCAGGCACCTTCGCCCTGCACCGCCCAGGCAGTCCGGGGCTGGAGCCGAGTGAGTGGGGCTGAAGGCGCTCGCTCTGCACAAGACGCACCCGTGGGTGGCCCAGGCAGGACGTGGGTGGGGGATGGAGCTGGGCCCAGCGCCCCCCGCAACACCCGCCCGCGCCCGCACGCACACACAAGCACGCACACGCATGTACACACACACTCGTACACACACGCACATACGCACGCATACTCGCAAACGCACGCAGACGCGCACACACCCCCACGCACAGCACACTCACGCACACACCCCCCACGCACAGCACACTCACGCACACACTCACACTCTCATGCACACACCCCCACGCACAGCACACTCACACTCTCACGCACACCCCCCACGCACAGCACACTCACGCACACACCCCCACGCACAGCACACTCACGCACACACTCACACTCACGCACACACCCCCCCACGCACAGCACACTCACGCACACACTCACACGCACACACCCCCACGCACAGCACACTCACGCACACACTCATACTCTCACGCACACACCCCCACGCACAGCACACTCACACTCTCACGCACACACCCCCCACGCACAGCACACTCGCACACACACTCTCACGCACACCCCCCACGCACAGCACACTCACGCACACACACTCTCACGCACACACCCCACGCACAGCACACTCACACTCTCACGCACACATCCCACGCACAGCACACTCACACTCTCACGCACACCCCCAACGCACAACACACTCACGCACACACTCACACTCTCACGCACTCCCCCCCACGCGCGCACACGGCACACGGGCCCCGTGCCGAGCGGCCTACGCGCGCCGCTGTCCCCCGCGCCGCGGCCCGGCGGGCGGTCCGGTCCGGTCCGGTCCGGTCGGGCCTCGCGGGCCCGCAGGGGCCGCTGGGCGCCCGGGACTCGGCTGGCCGGGCAGGGCCGGGCCGGGCCGTCCGCGCGGGCCGGGCGGGGGAGCTCCCGGGGGTCTCCGAGGGGCCGCGCCGCGCCCGCACCTGGCTCCTCGGCGCCGTCCTCGCGCGCCCGCTCCACGCCGCGGGAGGGGCGTCCCCGGGCCCGGCCGCCGCCGCGCGCCCCCGCGGGCCCCGGCGACAGGAAGCGGCCGCGCCGGTCCCGCCGCATGGCCGCCGAGGCGCGCTGGCCGGCGCTGGGCCCAAGATGGACGCCGCGGGGCGGGGCGGGGCCGGCGAACGGGAGGGGCGGGGCGGGGCGGGGCCAGGAGCGGGCCTGGGAGGCGGGGCCAGGAGCGGGCCTGGGAGGCGGGGCCAGGAGCGGGCCTGGGAGGCGGGGCCAGGAGCGGGCCTGGGAGGCGGGGCCAGGAGCGGGCCTGGGAGGCGGGGCCAGGAGCGGGCCGGAGGCGAAACCGGGGGCGGAGGTGGGGCCAGGAAGGGGCAGAAGACAGGCCCAGGAGCGGGCCTGGGAGGCGGGGCCAGGAGCGGTCTGGAGGCGGGGCCAGGGGCGGAGGTGGAGCCAGGAGCGGGCCCGGAGGCGGGGCCAGGAGCGGGCCTGGGAGGCGGGGCCAGAAGCGGGCCGGAGGCGGAACCAGGAGCGGAGGCGGGGCCAGGAGCGGGGCCCGGAGGCGGGGTCAGTAGCGGACTGGGAGGCGGGGCCAAGCGCGGACCCGGAGGAGTGGTGAGGGGGTGTGGGCGCGGGCCGGAGAGGCGGGGCCAGGCGCGGCGCGGGCCGGAGAGGCGGGGCCAGGAGCGGCGCGGGCCAGAGAGGCGGGGCCGGGCGCGGGCGGGCGGGCGGAGGGGCGGGGCCGGAGAGGCGGGGCCGGGCGGAGGGGCGGGGCCGCAGAGGCGGGGCTTGGGCGGGCGGGGCCGCGCGCGCGGCTGCACTTACGCGCTGGCGGGCGGCGTGGCGGCGGCGGCGGCGGCGGCGGCGGCGGCGCCCCGGGCCCGGTGCCCTCCGAGCGGCCGGGCGCGCGGGCCGGCGGAAGTGCGCCCGCGGCCCGCTGCTTCCGGCGCGCGCTCGGCCCGGCCCCCCGGCCCGGCCCCGCCCCGCCCGCCATGGCCGCGGCGCTGGGGGACGGCGCGGCGCGGCCGCTGCAGCGCGCCATGAAGCTGGCCAGCGCGGCCCTGGAGCTGGACGCCGGCGGCCGGCCGCGGGTGAGGGGCGCGCGCGGGCGGGGGCGGGCGGGCTCGGCCGGCCCGGCCGGCGGCTCACGGCGTCTCCCGCAGGAGGCCTACGCCGAGTACCTGCGGAGCATCCGCTACATCGCGCAGGCGCTGCTGGAGCAGGCGGACGGCGGCCCAGGTGCGCGGGGAGGGTCCGGCCCGGGGAGCGGCCGCGCCGCGCGGCGACCCTGCCCGGGACCCTCCGCGCCGGGGGCCCGCAGGGAGGGGTGGAGTCCAGGCCTGCGGGTCGGCCGGAGGGCGCAGCGAGTGTGCCCCCGCGGGACCCGGGGGACGTGGTCGGTGCCCGGGCGCGCGGTCAGCGCCGGGGCCTGCCGGGTCCAGGGCAGCCTAGGCCCGTGCCGGGAGAGGCGGGCGGTCAGGGCAGGTGGGCGCAGCAGGGCAGGGCGCGGAGAGGTTCCCCGCGCTCGCGTTCCCCGCTGCCTGCCTTTCTTAGGGAGAGTCTAACGGGCGGGGGCTCGGGGGACGAGACAGCCTGGCTCGTGGCCGAGAGGATGGTGACCAGCCTTCTCGTCGCTTGCTCCCAGCAGCCGGGGACGTCACGTCCCCTGACACCTCGAAGATGCTGAGGCTGGCGGAGCAGTGCCTGGAGCGCGCCCAGTCAACGGCCGCCGTGCTGGGTGCGTCTGTGCGGCAAGCAGGGCGTCCAGTGGAGCCCTGGTGCCCGGGACTCACACCCGCCCCGGATGTCTTACAGGGAGGACACAGCTGCGGGCAGCCTCGGCTGTGGCCACTCCTGGCTCCTGCCCGGCCAGCCGGCACCGGCGGGTCTGCTCGGACGAAGGCGGGAAGCTGTGTCCCTTCCTGCCGCCGGAGGTGTTCCAGAAGCTGCAGGTGGTCGAGTCACAGAGTTCCAAGAAGTAAGAGGGGAGCGGGGCAGGGCGCAGGGGCCGCCTTCAGGGGCCAGGGGAGCAGCTGGCCCTGTGGAATCCACTTAGGCTGGGCCCAGACGGAAAAGCTGGGGTTTTTTTTCTTTTCAGTTTTCACATGTGTTTTACTTTCATAAAAGTAGTTCACAGCAGTTCATTACAGATAATATTTGAACTCCAGTCCCACCACCGAGCACCTCCCCACCACAGCAAGAGGAAAGTGTGAAGGTGGTTGTATTTCGTTCTGGATCCGTTTAGGCCTGAATAGGAGAGAATACAAGCAAGTATGTTAAGACCAAACAAATGTCCGCTACCTGTAATAAGTGAGATAGAGTGCAAGCCGGGACATTCCGCGTCGCTCCCTTCCGGGAGCTTTATTTATAATCTCTGGGTCTTGGCAGTTGATGAGATTACCTGGCGCCAGGGACAGTGGGTGTGACAGCCGACCTACTGGGGACCTGAGGGGAGGAGCCCAGTCCCGGTCTGAGCGGGCCTGGAGATCTCAGTCATGGGTCCCGTATGCCTGGGTTTTCCTCCCAGTCCGCTCTTGAGTGAGGTTCATCCCGCCAAACGGGATAGTGTGTGTCTACAGGTATCTCCCCAGCCCTCCCTCCAGGTACCTGCAGCCTGGCAGAGGCTGGCGTTGGTTGGCACAGATGGGCGTGAGCTAAAGTGCAGTCTGCAGACAGCAGCACAGGCACATGCAGCCAGGCCCAGTGTGAAGTGCAGAACAGTTGAGAGCAGCATTGAAGGGCCTCACATGAGTTCCCTGTCAGCATCTCAGAGCAGAGCTGCTTCCTGCAGAGGTTTGGGGTGGGGGTCGCACAGCCAGTGCCCTTGGGTACCCACGCTCTCCTTTCTGTCGGGCCTGTGCACCACTGCCTCACCTTAGCCAGGACAGCACCGCGAGGGCCCAGGCCACCAGAGTAGCTCCTGGGCCCAGACAGAGCCTATCACCAACCACTTCCAGGGAGCTGACCCCCCTGGAAGAAGCCTCTGTGCAGAACCAGAAGCTGAAGGCTGCATACGAAGCACGGATGGCCCGTCTGGACCCCAGCCAAGCCACGCAGAAGACATCACTGGTCAGGAACTGCAGAGGGTGCTGGTGGGAGGGGCCCTCGCTGTCCCCACAGACCCTGTCCGGGGCCCTCGCTGTCCCCACAGACCCTGTCCAGGGCCCTTGCTCTCCCCATATACCTAAACCGTGTCCTGGTGGTGTGCCCCTCACTGCCCCGTAGACCCTGTCCCTGCAGCGGCAAATGATGGAGAACCTGGTGATAGCCAAGGCCCGGGAAGAGACAGTATCCTTTCTCCCACCTCATGCAAAAAGAGGATCCTTGGGTTTAGTCCCCTGTCTCACACCCACCCTGGCACACAGACTTCTTCCCAGCCCTCCTGCCAGATACGTGCAGCCTGGCGGAGTCTTGCATTGGTTGGCACAAATGGGCAGGGGCAGACATGTCACAGACTGGAAGTGATAGCCACGGACAGCCAGGCATCGACTGCCACATACTCTCACCGACTGGCACAGATGGGCACATGTGGGCACATTCTGGCATGGACGATCATGTTGGTCTGGACTGGCACTGACCAAGGTGGACAGTACCTGCTTGGGGCAGATGGGCACAGACGGGCTTGGTTCTGCCTGGGGGGCTGTGGGGGCCCAGTGCCCAGAACAGCCTTGACTCCACCAGCTACGGAGGAAGATGGAGGAGCGCCGGCTGCGGCTCCAGGAGGCGGCCAACAGGTGCGTCTGCGGCAGGTGGGGGGTGGGCAGACCGGCCCGGAGCCCCCAGCCCTGAAGGCCCGGCCCTCCCCAGGAGGTTCTGCAGCCAGGCGGTGCTGACACCAGAGGAGCGTGAGCTGCGGGCTCTCTACGCCGCGATCCTCGAGTACGAGCAGGACCACGTGAGTCCCTGCAGGCCCCCGGGAGGCCCGAGTGTGTCCAGGGTGGCCCCCCCCGTCACAGGGACCCACTGAGCTCCCCAGGCCTCTTGTCCAACAGGACTGGCCGAGAAGCTGGAGAGCCAAGCTCAAAAGGAACCCGGGGGACCTGTCGCTGGTGGCCAGCCTGGTCTCACACCTGCTCAGGTAGCCAGGGGGGCTGCGGCTGGGAGCGGGGTGGGTGGGGCCGCAGCGTGCTCCCCCGACACCCCCGGTGCTGTCCTGCAGTGTCCCGGACCACCCCATCCCGCAGCTCCTGCGGAGGCTCCAGTGTGCTGTGTACCGGTCACTCTACCCCATGGTCAGCTGCTCCCTGCCCCCCGATACCCGTGGACTGCGGGCCCCTGCAAGCCGGCGTCTCCGGCCCTCTCAGAGCCTTTACTGCATGCTCTCGCCCCCGGAGCCCAGCGACGAGACCCCTGCCAGCCCCCCCGCGGCCCTGCTTCAGCCCGGCCCCCCAGACAGCAGGGCCCCCTCACCCCCGGTGGACAGCTCCTCCCGCCCACCGGACAAGGACAGTTCGTTCGAAGATCTGGAGCAGCTCCTGACTGCGGAGCGGCTGGGCGGGCAGCCAGGGCCCCTGGCCACGGGGGCAGCAGAGGAGCCTCTGGCACTGCAGCTGAGGAGCCTGGTGAGGGACGTACACAACGCCATTGGTGAGCTGATGCCCAGCTCTGGACCCGCGCCCAGGGTTAGCCAGGGACGGGCCCTCCCAGCTCCCCACCACGGCCCCAGGCTTGCCTGTCTCTCGAACTCAGGCTCTGACCACGAAGTTGCTGGTAATGGGCTTGTCCTTGGGCCATTTGAGAGTCACTTGCTGGGCTGGAGAGACAGGACGGAGGCAGGCACTGGCCTTGCATGCAGCCAACCCAGCCTGGGCCCCAGCACCACTTCTGGTCCCCTGAGGAGCTGAGAGACGGTGTAGGGTCAGGTGCTCACCCAGTCCACGGCCGACGAGGTTCCATCCCCCACCACCACCAGGTATGGCCCAGAACCCAAAAATAAGAGGAAAGGGTTGTCACCCGCACATGGTGTCCCCGTGGGCCTCACCTCTGACCCCTGGGAACAGGGCTAGGGGTAAGTCCTGAGAGTGAAAGTAGGGTGTAGGTTCCTGAACGTTGGGGTTCGAGGTGGCTCCTGACTGTCGGCCCTCGGCTGGGCCACGTCGGGGGGAGATTTGCGTCAGACCCTCCTGGCACTGTCCGTGCCACTCCCTGGTGCCCTGCTCCACACTCCTAGCTCAGAAGGGGCATAGGGAGGAGGGGGTGAGTGGCGTTGCTGGGTCAGCCTGCCGTGTGGCTGTGAGGCAGGGCACACAGCCCGGGACACGGCACAGCACCCTGCACCCTGTCCCGGCAGACAGGCTGCTCTCGCTCACGCTTCTGGCCTTCGAAGGCTTGAACACGGCCCCCTCCAAGGACCGCTGCCTGGCCTGCATCGAGGAGCCCTTCTTCTCCCCGCTGTGGCCCCTGCTGCTGGCCCTCTACCGGTACAGCCCCACCCCACCCCTGCCGCACTGCAAACTGGTCTGCACGGTACCTGGGCCTCGGATGTGCCGATGGGTGGTGGCCTGAGCGGGCCAGTCTGGCACCTTGCGCTGTCTCCCGGCAGAGGCTCTGGCTTGCCCGCTCGGGTGGGTGCCGTCTCTCGAGGCCCTGTCCTGCCGCACCTCCCCGACCTGCCACTACCCGGCTCCATCCAGGGACAGGTGCCCTGAGCCGTGAACCGCTTGTCTGTGCCAGGGCTGTGTACCGTCTGCGGGAGGCTGCCCTGAGCCGAAGCATGGAGCTGTTCAGGAACGCACCCCCGGCAGCTGTGGGCATCCCCGCCCGCCTCCTGCCCCCAGATCCCACGGCCCTGGGTGCCGGCTCCTACCCCTACTTCTCAGCTACCCAGGAGCTGGGGCTGCTGGTCCTGGAGAGCTGCCCACAGAGGAAGCTGGCCTGCATCGGTGAGGGAGGTGGGGCCTCAGCCTGCATGGTGAGGGGAGGCCGGGGCCTCAGGCACAGGCAGTGACCCATGGGCGGTACTGAATGCCGGGATGGTCTGGTTCTGCCAGTTTGGCATCTTAGTAGCCAGCAGTGCTGGTGGGGGGCTCCTTCTGACCTTAACCCCTCACCCAAGTCCCCTCTGTCCCAGTGCGGGCACTGAGAGTCATTTGCGCCTCTGCTGAGGATTACTTCCGGGCCCATGACGCTGCCCCCGTGGCTGGGCACCAGCCTGGCGCTGCTGCCATGTAAGTACCAGGGGGCCGGCCTAGGAGGGAAGAGGCTGGCACTGGGCCCTTGACCCTTGGACCGTCTGGAGTCTGGCTTGAGGCGGAGCAGACCCCAGACATCTACAGAGTTGCCAGGAGCCCCACCCCGTGTGGCCCAAAGCAAGAAATAAAAGCCCCTGCTGGGCCCTGAGCTGGGACGGTGGCTTGTCCCTCCCGCCATCCAAGGGCACCCAGGGCCCCTTCCTGGCTGGCGCCCCGGGGCTTCTCAGGGCCCACCCTCCCGCCTCACCTGCAGTGGTGCCGACGACCTGCTCCCCATCCTGTCCTTCGTGGTGCTGAGAAGTGGCCTCCCCCAGCTGGTCTCCGAGTGTGCCGCCCTGGAGGAGTTCATCCATGAGGGGTAGGAGCTGGGGGGACGCCCTGTGCCTGCCACTGGCAGCTCCTGGACATCTGCCTTCAGGTGGGCCCCGCGGAACCCAGCACTGGCCCTCCTACAGGTGTCTGATCGGAGAGGAGGGTTACTGCCTGACCTCGCTGCAGAGCGCACTCAGTTACGTGGAGCAGCTGCCCCGGGCAGCCCTGGACAAGGAGGGCTGAGGAGGCATCACCCCAGCGCCACGAAGGAGCCCCCCAAGACTTGTGGCCAGTGGGAACGGACACTGCACCTCCCACCTCCACCCCACTCCTGTAGCAGTGCTGGGGGGGGGGGGGGCACTGGACCAGCTTCTGGGAACCAGCCTGACCTGCCCGCCCAGGGTCTGCACTGCTGCCCTCCACTGAAGCCCCTGCCAGTGATGGGCAGGGCAGTGGCCAAAGCTCGGTCCAGGCCACCTCTGTGTTGAGTCTCAATCCCTTCCCATCCTTCACTGTGGGCATTAGGCATCCTGGGACCCCTGGCCAGCTCCCTGGCCTTCCTGAAGGTCAGAGGCCTGCTGTGCACCTCCCATTCTTTTACATGCCAGTGGACAGTTGCCACCTAGAGCAGAAATAAAAGAGGTCACTGGCACTGGTCACTGGGTCCCCACCCAGTTGCCAGGACAAGAGTCTGTGTCTCCTGGGCTGCTGTAACAGAACGCCACCCACCAGTTCACTCAGAGTAACAGTTAGGGCCAGAGCGATAGTGCAGTGTGTAGGGCAGTTACCTCAGATGGGCCAACCCGGGTTCGATCCCTGGTATCCCATATGGTCCCCCCCCCCCCCCAAGGCCCACCAAGACCAATCTCTGAGTGCAGAACTAGGAGAAACCCTGAGCACCACCCGGGATGATCCTCCAAAAATGTTAAAAAGAACAGAAGGGCAGGAGCAATGATAGCATACACCAGCTAGGGTGCTTGCCTTGGAGGCAGCGGACCCAGGTTCAATCCTAGGACCTCTCTGGTCCCCAAACCCTGCCATGTGTCATTCCTGAGCACCATCATGTGTGGCCCCAAAGCAACAAAACAGCGTTAGGGCTGCGGCTCAGTGGCAGGGTGCTTCCCTGGCATGCATGAGGTCCTGGGGTCCAAGTCCCAGCACTGCAAAAGGAAAAAGCACCCGTGGACAACAGTTCTAGATAAGCTCTGAAGGCTTCCAGCCCGCCCCGAGCCCTCTTGGCACACTGGCCACCTGGACTTCGAGTCCAGCCTTATCTGGCATGGCCTCATTTTGAAGAGACCCGCAACCTCATTTCCAGAGGCGCTTCCGCTGTCAAGCTCCAGGTGGGCGTGTTTGCGAAGATGGTGGTGGGTCCTTTGGGGCAGTCCCGTGTCCTCCGTGGCACGCGGGCGCTGCGGGCCCTAGCCCGTGGGCTCAGTGCCACTCGCATTCTGTGGGCCAACATTTGACCGGGATCAGGTGCCATGAGAAAAGCCAAGTTCTCGGAATCGGAGCTTTCTCGTAGTGCAGACAGGAAACGGGGCTGACTGCAGAGGACACCTGCTGCGTTCAGGGCTTGCCTCAGCAGGAACAGCCAGGAAATGAGCTTGGAGTCGAGCCCTGCAGGAAGCGGGAAGAGCGACTCCAGGCCTCCCAGCCCGAAGCTGCCGTCCTTGTTTAGTTTTAGGGTCCTACCTGGCAGCGTTGGGGCCGCTCCCCAGAAAGCTTCCTTTCCACATGCAAAATCTGCGCACGCCCTTGAATTCTTCCTCCTACCCCAGGGTAAGGTTTTAAACCTCAGGATTTTGGTGTCAGGTAAATGGGGCCGAGGAGGGACTAGGCACTTGCCTTGACGTGGCTGACCCAGAGTAGATTGCCTGGCATGGCCTACGGCTCCCCAGATACTGCCAGGAGTGACCCCTGAGAATAAAGAGTCAGAAAGAGTCCCTGGGCACCACGGGCTGTGGCGCCCCAAAGCACAAGACCGCAAAGGTTTAGCTGCGCGTGCGCGCGGGCCCCGCCTCCGCCCGGCCCCCCAAAGGCGTTGCTGGTGGCCGCGCCTCGTGGGCGTGGCCCGATGCCCACCTGAGTGCCGAGAGTGGCCGCCTGCTGCAGGTGCTCGGCCAGGTTCGCCCTGCAGAGACCTGCAAAGGCGAACAGCGGACAGGTTCGGCCCTTCACTAAGGTGCTCCAGAACGTGCCGCCCGCCGCGCCCGCCCTTCCCGGAGCCCCGCCTCGCCCCTCCCCCGGAGCCCCGCCCTCTCGGAGCCCCGCCCCTCGCCCTGGAGCCCCGCCCGCCCTCCAACCTCTGCCCCGGAGCCCCGCCCACCCGTCACCGCTCCTCCCGGATTCCCGCCCTCGCCTCGGCTCCCGGAGCCCCTCCCTCTCCCCGTCTCTCCTCTCGGAGCCCCGCCCGCCTCTCACCGCCCCTCTGCCCCGGAGCCCCGCCCTCTCCTCGCCGCTCCTCTCGGAGCCCCGCCCGTCCGGCCCCCATCCTCTTCCCCGAAGCCCCGCCCCGCCCCTCTCTCCCGGAGCCCCGCCCACCCGTCACCGCTCCTCCCGGAGCCCCGCCCCTCTACCCCGGATTCCCGCCCTCGCCTCGGTTCCCGGAGCCCCCCCTCTCCTCGCCTCTCCTCTCGGAGCCCCGCCCGTCCGGCCCCCATCCTCTTCCCCGAAGCCCCGCCCCGCCCCTCTCTCCCGGAGCCCCGCCCACCCGTCACCGCTCCTCCCGGAGCCCCGCCCCTCTACCCCGGATTCCCGCCCTCGCCTCGGCTCCCGGAGCCCCTCCCTCTCCCCGTCTCTCCTCTCGGAGCCCCGCCCGCCTCTCACCGCCCCTCTGCCCCGGAGCCCCGCCCTCTCCTCGCCTCTCCTCTCGGAGCCCCGCCCGTCCGGCCCCCATCCTCTTCCCCGAAGCCCCGCCCCGCCCCTCTCCCCGGAGCCCCGCCCCCCGCCTCTCCCCGGGAGCCCCGCCCCGAGCGTCACGGTCTCGGCCAATCGCGAGGCCCGCGCGGCCGGAAGCGCGGGGCCGGGGCCGGGGCCGGGGGCGGCGCGGAGCTGCGGGCGGCGGGCGCGGGGCGCGGGCGCGGGCGCGGGGCGCGGGGCTGCGGGCGGCGCCATGGGCAGCCCGTCGCTGTCCGAGGACTACCGGCAGTGCCTGGAGCGCGAGCTGCGGCGCGGGCGCGCGGGCGTGTGCGGGGACCCGTCGCTGCGCGCCGTGCTCTGGCACATCCTGGTGGAGGACTTCGACCTGCACGGCGCGCTGCAGGACGACGCGCTGGCGCTGCTCTCGGACGGGCTGTGGGGCCGCGCCGACCTGGCGCCCGCGCTGCGCGGCCTGGCGCGCGCCTTCGAGCTGCTGGAGCTGGCGGCCGTGCACCTGTACCTGCTGCCCTGGAGGAAGGAGTTCACCACCATCAAGGTGCGCGGGCGGGCGCGGGGGCGCGTTGCCGTGGCAGCGCGCGCGGGCGGGTTGCCGCGCGACGCGGGGCGCGAGCCGGGAGGGGGGCTCCTCTGGGGGCCGCGCCCGCCGCACCTCTGTCCCGGGGGCGGGCGGGGGTCAGGCCGGGGTCGGGCGGGGTCGGGCGGGGATCAGGAGGGGCGGGCGTCCTGGGGGTCGGGCGGGGGTCAGGCCGGGGTCAGGCGGGGCGGGCGTCCTGGGGGTCGGGCCGGGGTCAGGCGGGGGCCAGGCTGGGGTCAGGCGGGGCGGGTGTCCTGGGGTAAGGCGGGGGTCGTGGGGGGGTCATCAGGCGGGCGGGCGTCCTGCGGGTCAGGCCGGAGGTCCTGGGGGCGCAGGGAGGCTCTTGCTGCAGTCCGGCTGGAGGGTCTCGTTCCTTGCACTGGGGCTGCCCGGCCCCTCGGAGCTATTTCCCCGCCGGTCTGAGCCCCGAACGCTGTGCTCCGCCTGTGAACGCCCAAGCCCCCCCACCTCCAACCCCAGGCTCGCTGAGCCGGGAATGGCCTGAAGCCTGCAGGGCAGCAGGGCAGGGGAGTGGCGCCCAGCGTGGGGCAGGGGACGCACTGACCGGGCCCTTCCCTGCAGACCTTCTCCGGGGGCTACGTGCACGTGCTCAAGGGGGCGCTCTCCGAGGACCTGCTCATCCAGAGCTTTCAGAAGATGGGCTACGAGCGCAGGGACGGACACCGCCTCATGGTGGCCGCTCTGCCGCCCGCCAGCCAGCTGCTGCAGGTGGCCCTGGGCTGCTTCGCCCTGCGGCTGGAGTGTGACATCCTCTGCGAGGTGCTGGACCAGCTGGGCACCAGCATGCTGCCCGCGGAGGAGCTTCTCCGGGCGCGCCGGGCCAGTGCCGACGTGGCCTCCTGCGTGGCCTGGCTGCAGCAGCGGCTGGCCCAGGGCGAGGAGCCGCCCCCTCTGCCCCCCCGGGGGGCCCTGTCCGTGTACCAGGCCCAGCTGGACCTGTACCAGGAGCTCCCGGAGGACGAGGGCTCCGAGGTGGCGAGCCTGGACGAGGGGTCCCCCGGCCCGGACTCGCCCTCCTTGGAGCTGGCCTACCAGCCGCACCTCTGGGCACAGAGTGCCAAGCTCTGGGGCAGCGGCGGCGGCACCGCCTGGGAGCCAGGGGCTGCAGAGGGGCTGCCGCCCTACAGGGCCCTGGAGGAGCCCGGGGCCTTCCCCTTCCTCTCCTTGCACTCGGAGCTGCTGAGTGAGTCTGGGGACCCGGCTGCTGCCAAGGCCCCCGGGAGCCCCAGGCGGGCGAGTCCCCCCCAGAGCCCTGGCCTGGCCCACGAGCCCGCTGCCTACCAGGCCCACAAGTGCCTGGCGCCGGGCACCCTGCCCACCGTCTGCTGTGACACGTGCCGCCAGCTGCACACGGCCCACTGCGCCTCCCTGTCTGCGTGCCGGCCCAGCCACGCACTGCGCGTGCTGCTGGGGGACACGCAGCGGCGCCTGTGGCTGCGGAGAGCCCAGGTGGACACTCTGCTCCGGGAGGGCCCAGGGGCCCAGCCCTAGGCCCAGGCGGGCCCCAAGGCTCTCTGGGGTCGCCGGTGCTTCTCTGGGCCGCTGCCTGCTCCCAGGACCCTGCAGGGCCCTGTACACGCGACACCCTTGGGCACTGGATGCCACAGCCCCAGGCAGGACCCCCTTCCCTGTGACCCCCTGACCCACGCCTCCCTTGGCACTGGGCACTGTCCGCATGGTCTCGGAAACCAGAGCTCCGTGAGGGCCAGCCTGTGGCCGGTGGGCCTCCCCTTCTCTGCCTCACGGTATGCTCGAGAGCGTCTCCGCCCTCCGCACCTCACTCGACCCCAGGCCCCTGCACCACCTACCAGGAAGGGGGCCCTGCTTGGGCCAGGCTCCGGCCTTCCAAGTCGCTGTCAGGAGCCCACCCTGCTCCGCCCCTCCAGCAGGCTCCAGAAGGGGCCAGGAGTCACCCTGGGCCAGGCCACTTCGGGGGCAGCCCTGGCACCTCTGGCCCTGGCCACAGCCCCTCCAGAAGCCAGAGACCATTAAATGACGCTGAGTCCACGGGTGCCAGGAAAGCATTTAATCTCTCGGGCTCCTTTCAGCACTGACAGGCTTCGCCAGAGCCCAACCTGGCAAGCCTGGAGACCAGGAGGGCCCCCGGGCACAGGGAGGTGGGCTCGGCAAGCCTTCCTTGGGTGGCGCTGGGAGGGGACGGCAGGGCTGCCGGCCTCTCGGCACTGTCCCCTTGGTGCCCACATCAAGGTCTGCAGCGCTTGCTCTGGGCTTCAGTCCCGGAGGCAGGGGCGGGGGCAGCCCGCTTGTTCCGGTGGTGGGGGAAGGTGGGCATGAGCTCCGGCTCACAGGCTGTGGGGGGCGGGGGGACTCCATGCACAGGGCTGCTGGGGGGCTGCCTCCAGTGTGAGCCCAGCTCTGGACAGGCATCACGGCCCGCACCCACCCGGCCACGGTGCACACACCAGTGGGCCGTGATGCCTCCCTGAATCGGCCCTGCCCGCTCTGCCACACCCGTCCCTGTGCCAGGCACCCGCCCCGCAGAGGCCCAGCCGGGTGGCACTCACGCAGGGGCTTCTCCTTGAAGTACGAGCTCTCCAGGCAGTCCCCCGCCGTGGCCCTGGAGTGGACACCCAGATGAGCGGGCCCCACCCATGGCGAGGGGCCTAAGAAGCTGTGTTGGAGTGCCCCTGCCAGCCACAGCACCTTTTCTTGGGGTCGTACATGAAGAGGAGGTGCAGCAGGCGCAGGCCAGCCTCGGAAAGCCAGGGGAACCTGTGCTTCAGGTTGTTGTAGGGCTGCTTCCGCAGGCTGTACTGGCTGGCCAGTGGGAGCTTAGAGAAGCCCTGTGGGCAGCAGGTCGTCAGGGTACAGGGCTGATCAGGCTGCAGGTCAGGCAGAGGCCAGACACTCACCGGCCAGATGTTCTCACTGGGTGTTCCCAGCAGCTGCACAATCAGGTCCACCTGGTGGAGCTCAGAAGTGCCTGGGAGAAGTGGTCTGTGGGCCAGGAGCTCGGCTAGGATGCAGCCCACCGCCCTGCAGAGGCAGCCACAGTCCTCACACCCCTGCCCCCACCTGGAGGCAGCAGGAGTGGGCACGGCACACCAGGCCCGCCACCTGTGCGCTGTCCCCTCCAGGGCCCCTGGCATCCCCCCTGCAGCCCCTCTCACCACATGTCGATGCTGGTGGTCTGTGTGGCAGTGCCCAGCAGCAGCTCTGGAGCTCGGTACCTGCACACAGAGGCACCAACTGGCACAGGACTCCCCAAGTCCGTCTGAGCCTGCACACAGCGGCCAGCACTGCGGGCAGAGGCATGTCCCCCACTGGTCTTGACTCGCAGAGGCATACCAAGAGCAGCTTCGGGGAGACCCCCACAGGGCTGCTGCCAGTCCAGAAAGTGCTAGACTGGGCCCCTCTGCCAGCAGCCCTGCACTGCCACCACCAACTACCAGGAAGGGGGCTCTGTTTGGGCCAGGCTCCGGCCTTCCAAGTCGCTGTCAGGAGCCCACCCTGCTCCGCCCCTCCAGCAGGCCCAGCTGACTCACCACAGGGTGACCACCTTGGGGGTCATTGGTTTCACAGGAGTGCCGTAGGCCCTGGCCAGGCCAAAGTCAGCTGTGATAGGCAAAGGATGCATCACTGCCTGCCCATGGGCACAGGAGGCATCACGGCCCACACCCACCCAGCCACGGAGCAGCACACACCAGTCTTCACGCAGCCCTTGTCCGTCATGAGCAGGTTGGAGACCTTCAGGTCCCTGGGGAGAGAGAGCAGTGGGCTCCTGGGGGCGCACTAACCGCCCCAACAGGTTGTGTTCACAGGCCAGGCTCTGCCTGCAGGAACCTGCAGCGCCTGGCCCAGCCCACGCCAGCCCTGTGGCTCCTCCTGAGCTCTCCGAGCATGGCCCCCACCAGCCCCACAGGCAGGGCTGTGCCCACCAGGAAGGTGCACCCGCCAGGCCCCACCACCTGTGGATGATGAAGTTCCGGTGCAGGTACTGCAGACCGCGGAGCACCTGCAGGGCAATGCACTTCACCTGCCAGAGAGCAAGGACATGGCTCAGGGCTGCTCGGCACACGTTGGAGGGTGGGCGCGGCCAGGGCCCGCCTCGCCACCGACCTGCGCCTCAGAGAAGGGCGTCGGCATGTTCTCCAGCAGGCTGGCCAGGTCCTGCTCGCAGTAACCCATCACCAGGAAGATGCTGGAAGGGCAAGAGACAGGTGCTGCGTCTGCCAGCACGCAGGGAGGGGCCGGCACAGCCCACGGCTCACCTCTCCAGGTGGTTTCCCACGACCACCTCCTTCAGCTCCACAATGTTGGGGTGTCGCAGACGGAGGAGCAGTGTGATCTCACGCAGACTGCTGATGGGAACCCCTGCAACCACACGGATCAGATCCTCCCCCCACCACCACCACCGGCAGGGCTCTCACTGCACGACTTCCACACACAGCCTGCAAGAAGGTGCCAAAGGCTGGGAAGTAGGTGGGGCGACCGACTAGAACCACCTGAGATCAATTCCCCAGCCCTCACGCAGAGGCCAAAGCTGCTGCACGCTCCACACCCATCCCCTGTCCTGAGGAGCCCTGCACTCACGCCCCAGCCTGTCCCTGCTCACCGTCCTTCTCCTTGTCCATCCTCACTTTCTTCAGGGCAACAATCTCGTTGGTCTGGGTGTCCCGGGCCCGATCTGGAAGAGAAACTGCCCATGAGTTGCGTACAACCTCTCCCTGGGCGCAGGGCTCCCTTTCTCTCTGCCCAGCACCTACTACGCACTCAGGGCACTCTCCCTAAGGGCCTGATGGAATGGCCAAACAGCAAATGTACTTCATAAAGGAACAGCCCTTACTGGTGCAAGGGTGGCTTCAGGGCATGGTGCCACCTGCTTGCCCGTGAAACCCCACCCGCTGAGCACACAGCCAGTCACAGCAGCTGCTGCAGACCCATGCCTCCTGCCAGAGGGCTGCACCAGTCACTCGATGTGGGACTCAGCTTCTAGTGGAACATGAGGTGTTTCTTTCCCTCCTTCCAGCCCAACGCAGCTCCTGTGGGAACAGCCCTGTGCCCAGGCCCCCATCTCGGCCACTCACACACGATGCCATAGGTGCCTTCCCCAATGCGGTTCAACTTCTCAAACTCCTTCACGCTCCGGCATCGCCCCAGCTGAAAGAGTGGCAGAGTTGGGGCGGCCCACACGGAGCATCCCACAGACAGACGCTTCTCAGGTGCAAAGAGGGGTGATGACCCAGATGGACACAACACCCTACCCCAAACCCTAAGCTTGCCCAAACAGCGGTGTGAGAACGCATTCAGAGGCCAAAGAGGAAAGAAACAAGGCCAGATGGGGCCACACCTGGAAGGTCATTGGAATATGCTGCCCTGAGCTTCCCAAAGCAGGACACTGTCCCCACCCACGCCGGTGGCCGAAGGGCACTTTCTCTTAGTCCTAAAAGACTAGGGGTGGAGGGTGGGGACAATACTTGTTTTGCTTCTGGGGCTTTTTTTGGGGGGGGCGGGGGGTGTCACAACAGGCGATGCTCAGGAATTACTCCTGGCAGTGCTCAGGGGGCCATATGGGAACCAAACGCGGGTCAGCCGCGTGCAAGGCAAACGCCCTACCCGCTGTGCTATCGCTCGGGTCCCAATACTTGTTTTGTTTCTGAAAAGGCCTGTCTGATCACTTTGGAACCCGGGGTCGAGCTATAACCCACCAGCCCAGGATGGAAAACGAATGGAAATAAAATGACGAGCCCGATTCCTCAGATGCTGAGTCTTGTCTCCAAGGGCTCCAGGCCACACACTGGTGACCGCGACGAGTTCGTGGGCCATCGACCAAACGTGGGCTGCTGCGGCGGCGGGACCGTCCCCCGGAGCCGCGCGTTTCTTGCCCCAGCCCCTGCGACCCCGGCCCGAGCTCGCAGTCCCCCCGGCCGCCCCCTCGCGTCCAGCCGCCCGGGAGCGCGCCTGGGCTGGACGCAGCCCCCCTGGCCGCCCTCGGGTCCAGTCCCCCTTGACTCCCCGCCCCGCGCGGCCCCGGGACCTTGCTGCAAGGAGCGCAGCGCGCACGGCGCACCTCGCCCTCGGACAGGGTCGGGGGCTCAGACGCGGGCGGGCGCGGAGACCCCACGGCCGGGGGGCGGTCCCGCCCCGCACGTGGCAGGTGGGCGCGCCAGAGGGCGGCCAAAGAGCCGGTCGAGGCCACTCCGCCCCAGCCGGGGTCCGCCGCCCCGCGCCCCGCCCCGGGGTCCGCCCGTCTCCCCCTCCCCGCCCCGGGGTCGGCCCATCCCCCGCCCCGCCGGGGTCCGCCCTCCCCCACGCCTCGGAATCCGCCGTCTCGCCCCGCCCCCGAGCCCACCAGCCACTTCCGGTTCGCCGCGAGGAGTTCTGGGAGGCAGGCCCCGCCCCTGCCGGAAAGCACGGCGCCCCGGCGCGACACCGAGGGCGCGGCGCGCTCCGGCCTCGCCCGCCGCCCGCGGGCCCACTCGCACCCTGTGTTCCGGGGGCACCGTGAAGTAGCCTTCCTTGCGGACACACTTCAGGCGGATCAGCTCCGACTCCGGCTCCTCCATGCCCGCGCGCAGCTCGGCTCCCCGCGCAGGCGCAGACTCCACTTCCGGGCCGCGGTTCCCAGGGGCGCCGCCGGAAGTGCCCGTCTCGGCGCCCCCGCCCTGCCGACGTCTCGGCCGCCCGCCGGTGGTCGCCCCGGGCTCCGGCGCCCAACCTCGGGGTCCCGCGGGCGCTCGGGCGGGAGGGGAGCACGGTGAGTCGGCTCCGTTGTCTGGGGCCGAGCCTGGGCCCGACGGCACGGGCCTGGGGTCGCGCCGGAGCAGCGGCGCCGCGGTGGCCCAGAGCCCCCAGCCGAACGGTCCGCGTCCCGTCCCTTCGGCCCTTGGCGTCCTCCGCGGCGTCAGAGCCGTGGTGGTCCTCCGGCGGGCGGGGCGGGGCGGGGCGGAGGCCGGGGCGAGGGCAGGTGCGCGGTCGGCCGCGCTTCCTCGGGCACAGGCGCGGCACGGGCCGGACTCGACAGGCCTCCGCGACTGCCTTGAGATGCTTGGCCGGAGGTCGCCGATGGCGGGGCTGGCGCGATAATCCACCGGGTGGGGCCCCTGCTTTGCGGGGGCTCCGCTTGAGGACCCCCAGGCCCAGCCAGGCGGGATCCCCGGAGCCAGCAGCAAGCCCTGAGCACCCCTACGGGTAGCGCCCAAACCAGAATAAACAGAACAGCAGTTGGTTGCGAGTCGGTTGTGTTAATGCCCCAACAGCGCTCGCCAGCGGAGCGCACAGGGCGCCTTGGCCACGCGGAGCTGAGGAAGCGGTGCCCATGGCCAGCACACGGGAGGCCAGGGTCCGGCCCCCAGCGCGCACTCCCTTCCCCGGGCGGCCTGGAGCCTGTGTGCCGAGGGCCCGGGTCGCCCCTCACCCTCCTGGAGGCCGCCTCCGGCTCTGCGTCGGTCACAGCCCTCCGAGCCCCTCTGCCCCTGGTTCGGGGACGCCAGCGTCCTGCTGCTCCTGAGGCCTCGGCCGGCTGCCTTGAGAGTGGACGGGACCCCCCGCCTCCGCGAGTCAGCTCGCGCTCGGCCGCTTCCGGCTCCATGTGCTGGCCGGACACAGCCCCTCGGGGGTACTCCGCGGGCACTGCCTCATTTCGGTGGGGGCGGGCCGAAGGCAGCCACGGTGCTGGGGCTCCGGTGTCGGAAGTAGGGGCCCCAGTCCGCACAGTCGTGGATGGGCCTCTGCTCTTCACTGGGGACTGCACTGAGGCTGATGAGGCTCTGCCGGGAGGCCCGGGTGATGGCGATGCGGGGGGTGCCCGGCTGCACAGGGTGCTGCTCTGGAAGGAAGCGACACCCGAATGAATGTTGGCTTGCAGCAGGGCACAGCTCTTCGGGAAAACAGTGCCCTGGTCGGGCGGGTGGGATCAGGGGTGCAGGGCCCCTCTGGGATGACCCGAGCTACACCTCGGGGCCAGTGAGTGGCTGAGCATGGGGAGGTTCGGTGGGGGATGCCCAGAGGAGGCAGGCCTGCCCCCAAGGTGGAAGCCGGACACTGGGAGAAACCTCCCTTCAGAACTCGGTCAGAACGGGGCGTTGAGGGCCCAGGACCATGCAGCACCGACAGAAGCCCTCTCCTGGCTCTCGCCTGCCTCTGCACACACACAGGAACCCACGTCCTTTCCTCAGTAAGTTTCTGCAACCCCGTAAGAGGGCCAGAGGAGGATTTTCTGTCCCTGAGTGTCACTGTCATTTTGTGTGAGCCATACCTAGCAGTGCCTCAGGGGGTAGCTTGTGGCTCAGTGCTCAGGTGTGGAAAGTTAGGATGACATTGCTTTGTCCTTTCTCCCTTTCTCTACAAGGAGCTTAGGTTTATCAGGTTACACCCATTACAGTGCTCCTGAGTCACTTCCATTCCATTGCGTTTATCTGAAATTCTTCCCTATGCTCTTCTCCCCAACCAGTTAATCAGCTTTCCCCCTGGTCAGACTTGTAGGTTAGATTCCTCAGAAATCTATGATTTTATATGTATGAGTGAAATATTGCCTTTCTCCTCTCCTTATGCCTGTTAAATAGTTTACTTTAAAGCAATGTCCTTTTTGTATAGATACAGGAAGACCGTTAACATTATGCCTTGTAACTTAGGATTTAATTGGCTTTGAATATTATTCACTCCCGGGCATCTGCTTTCTCAACTTAAGCCTCAGTTGCCCTTAGTTCCTAACACGCCAAAAGCAGGGTCCCAACAAGGGACTGAATGGACCCAGGGCAAGCGGTGAGCTACCCTGGCATCGAAATGGGCCAGGCCAAAGTGCCACGATTCTTAATTCTAAGTTTAGAGCTTGATCATAGACAAATGCTGTCATGATCCAAAAGTAATGACGAGAGTAGGACCCTGCTAGGGGTAGGAAAGACTATCTGGCCTGAGCACTGTAGTCTGAGATCAAGATGGCCCTAGGAGGGCAATTCTATAAGTTTAAGGTATTTCTTACTGTATTTATACAAAATTATTTATATGTGCTTATATGTTTGTTGGACAAGGAGAGGAGAAACACCCAGGGGATTCCACTCTAGGGTGGGTCGATCTGACAATGAAGATCTGTCCTAGGAGTGGATATCCCTGAGGGAAAAAATTCTACCCCTATTGATTGTGACCACACCTCTGCGTAATTATTACCCCAACCCCTCATGCTTTGGGATTTAACTGTACTGTAAGAGTGGGCTGGAGGATCAGAATCCAGACTCCAGAGCAAGAGGAGAAAGGGGATCGGAATCAGAATCCAGACTCCAGAGGAGGAGGATGAAGGGGGATTAAGAAGGAGAATGAAGTAGTATGGGGGAGGAAGAAGCAGGAGAGGAAGCAGAGGACAGAGGCAGGAGTGCATGGAGAGAGGAATGAAATAAACTGCAACTGACATCAACCAGCCTGGCCCTCGTTTCCTTCCTTTGCCTGCCCATCACCATCGACCTCCCCGGGGTGGAGGAAGCAGCATGAGACTGCTGAAAGCGGGCGGTGGGAGAGACAGAGCCGCCGCTGCTGTGCCCTTTTTTGAGTTTACACATCTGGCGTTCCTGGGTGGGCCCGAACCTCCAACCGGTATGCAACTAAAGGTGAGAATAGCGTTCGGTACACCCCAATTCTAGAAAGTTTAATGGGAGAATTAAGATTGTGTGGTGCGGTGGATTAAACTGCTAGCCGTACTCCCCACCAACATGGGACAACAGTGCCGAGCGGAGTCCTTTCAAAATGTTTCGCGCCAAAGTGAACGTGGCCAGTTTTTCATTGAATTGATTAAGCATTTTGCAAAGAGAACTGGACATAGTGTTTCTCTGGACCAACTCCGGTCCTGCCTAAAAACTTTATAAATTTCACCCCTGGTTTCCAGATAAGGGTACTTTGGCGCCTGAGGTTTGGGAAAAGATTAAGGATAATGTCTTCAGAGAATTTAAAGAAGGGGCTCAGATCCCTAAACAATTCTGGGTAGCTTGGGAAATTGTCAACTCCATTCTCAAGGCTTTGGAAGATACCTCCAAGGAGAAGGATGTTAGATATACTATGGGAGGCTTTCCTCAGGAGTTAAGCAGAGAGAATTTTAAGATCAAGGATGAAATGAAGAAAGTTCCCACTACTGAGAGAGCCCTCGGCTCCTCCCATACCCAAGCCTAGAAAGAAGCCTGATGCTCAATCCTTGACTGCTCCTGTACCCAAGCCCCGAAAGCAGCTCAAGGCGTTTCCGGTAGAAACACGTTCTCAGAGCAAAAATCTCTCTGCCACTAATGAATTAACGTTCCCTACTGATGTCAAGCCAGAGAGGCCCCCACCTCCTCTGTATGACTCCACTTCCAGTGCGTCAGAGGAAAGTGATGGGTATGATGAGCCAGCTACCACATCCTCAGATTCTGAGTCTGAGAGCGTCGTGGTACAGAAGCTTCTCACAGGAGCCGCCGCTCCTTTAAATTTTCTAAATCTACCTCAAGGAGAGCCATATACAGCAGCTGAAAGACATTTCCAGGAAGGTACACAGGCTCAGGAAATGGTTAATTCTCCTATTTGGGTTAAATTTGACAAAGAATGGATAGCAGGGAAACTCCTCATTCGAGGAAAAGGCTATGCTTTTGTTCCAACAGATGATAACCCCATTAAGAAACTTTGGGTTCATTACCTCTCCTCAGAAGTCGAATTGATTCACCAAATTCAACCCTCAAACCATCAGAGACTACTTACTCCTCTAAACTCTATTCAGCCAAACTAGCTGAGGAAAGAATGCACCCTCGTTGGGATCCCACCGTTGAGCAGATCTCCTAGTAATCTGGAATCAATCTCTTTAGATGAGATTTAATCCTAGAGTTAATCTCTTGGAGGAGTGGTCTTACCTCTCCTTGCTGATTTGTTAATGTTCAACCCACCTTTGTGTCACCACTCTACGTGACTGCGGGACATAGTGCATGGCACATGTGTGCACACGAGCTGCAATCGCCCACCCAGAGGGAGAGCTCCATACACTCATGGTCCTCACAGGCCTCCATGGCAGCTGGGAGCGTTCCCTGATCTGTCCCAAGATGAACACTGCGCTTCACTGCCGGACAAATATATAGCGCTGCATTCGCCAGAACTCTCCCATCCTCTAAGTCTGATATTAGGTTGACGTTGAGGGTCGGAGAGAGAATCCAGGGCAAGGAGCTTAGATCCCAGCATCCGGTGTGGCCCTCCAAGTCCCACGGGGGTGATTACTAAACACCCTCCTGTGTGTGTGTGGTGGGGGAGACCCAAAAACAAACCCTAAAAGTTCTAATTTTCCCAAACAGAACAGAATCTTTGAGTTTTAAGGCAGCCAAGTAGGGGTCGGGTGATGGTTCAAAGGGCGACAGCTGGGCCCGGGTCCAGGACTACACCCCAGCCCCATTTTATCCCCCAGGGCACTGCATGGCTGCAGCCCTGGGGGACACCAGCACCACCATGGAAGCTCAGAGAGTGAGGGGGCAGCTGCTGCTTTCTCCAGTGCCTTCCCATGAGGCCATGCTCTCAACCCTGTGCACAGGCCGCCCTGGGCCTTGGCCACATGCCTCTCTGGTCCCTTCCTGTAGAAAATTCTGTCCACTGGGTCCTTCTGTGTCAGAGACGCCCGCACCACACCCATCGCACGTGGGACGGTCAGGATTTGCGCTCGTGAGCACAGACACGTAAGGTCAGTACTGGGAGGCCTGCACACTCCTCAGGTCTCCGAACACCATCCCCAGCACACGTGTTCAGCCTCAGACCCGGGGCCTCATCAGTGTCCTAGAGGTCCACCAAGCTTCACCCCTGGCTCCAGCTTCTCTTTGGCCTGTGGAGAGAACACAATTCGGTCATCTTGAACGAACTTCCAAAGTCAGGCCCCATGAATCCAGCACCATGTGGCCACGGGAAAAGCCACCCACCTCATTGCCACCCAGGCAACGCGGGTTTGCTTTCCCCGCAGGTGAATGCAGCGCCCACTGGCCCGCATCGCCGGAGCCCTGCCCAGGGTCCGCAGTGGGCCCCAGTGAGCGCAGAGGGCCCAGCCCCAGCTTTTTGTTCGTGTCCGGGGCCCACCCTGGTGCTCAGGGTCACTGCAGGCTCTGCACGCACTCCTGGCAGTGCTCAGGGTGCCACGCGGGGCGGCCGTCGTCCTCCCCGCTGCGTGGCTGCCCCGGCCCCGCCGCCTGAGTCCGGCGTCCCGGCGCCTCGGGCCGCCCCCAACCCCGGAGCAAGGCGCTTCCCGGGCGGCCCGCGGCGGCTCCGCCGGCTCCGGGCGCGCCTCCGCCTCCCGCCTCCCGCCTCCCGCCGAGCTCCCCGGGCGGCCCGTCGCGGCGTCCACACCTGCGGCGCCGGCCGGGGCCGCGGCTGCGTCTCCCTCGGGCGCCCGCCGGGGCCCGGGCCCCGCACCCGCCCGGGCCTTGGCCTTGCTGCGCCCCAGCCCCATCGGCCGGTCCCGTGACTCACAGACGCGTCTCCATGGCGACGCCTCGCGCCGTCCTCTCGCGAGAGCTGCCGGCGGAAGGGGCGGTCCCGGAAGTGCCGCGGCCGAGCGAGCTCGACACCGGCCCGCCCGCCGCCCGCCCCGGCCATGGACGGTAAGAGCCGCGGCCCGACCCCCGCCCCGGGCCTCGGCCCGCGCTGTCCGGCGCCCGAGAGCGCCCCGGCTCCGGGCACCCGGTGCTGGCCGGCCGGCTGCCCTGCCCGCTGCCCCCTGCCCCGCCCTCTGCCCGGCCCTGCCCGCTGCCCCCTGCCCCGGCCCTGCCCGCTGCCCCCTGCCCCCTGCCCCGGCCCTGTCCGCTGCCCCCTGCCTCGGGGCTTCCGTTGGCCCTCCTGGCCGTCGGGACCCTCACCCGCGCCGCCCTCCCCGTGGTCACCCTGGGCAGCGGGGCGGGCCCCGACGGACGCGCCCACCCGCAGGCGCATCAGCTGGGGCGTCTCCGCGAGCGGCGAGCCCGGCCGCGGCTGCTGGCCAGGCCTGGGGCCCAGAGCCGGCCGCTCCCGTCCGTTGGGTTCTCCGTGGGCCACACCCGGCGGGTCATGGCCCGCCCAGACGGTGGTTCTCTGGGGCCCCCCTCGCCGTGCCGGGGAGAGGGTCGAACTTGGGGCATCGCAGACGCTGACCTGCGCCCTGCCCCGGGTCAGCCGGCGGGAGGGGCGCCTAGGAGTGGACAGGGCAGTGCTCACTGGGACCATGGTGGCCTGCATGTTGACCCCTGATGGTCAGCGGTCATCCGCCGGCCCGTGAGAAGTGGGCTTCAAGGACACGGGGTTCCTGGGAGCCAGAGTGCATCTTCCTGGCCCAGCAAGGGAGCGAAGGCCTCCCCGGAGGGCAGCAGCTGCAGCTCCGAGAGCCTCTACCAGAGCTGCTGCTCGGGCATCCAACTGCGCTCACGCTTCCTGACTCTCACCTTCTCTCCCTTTGCAGACACCCTGTTCCAGCTGAAGGTACGTCCTCCAAATTGGCCCTGCCCGGCCCTGCCGCTGCCGTGGGGAATGGTGCTGTCAGCCTCTGCTGCCTGCCAGGCTCTCCTTGTCTGCTGAGCCCCAATGGTCACCCGGCTGTGGGGAGACATGTCACTGGAAGGGCGGCCTGGTATTCGCCACGCCCCTTCTGGACCAAGGGGCCTCTGTCAGGCCTGCTGTGCTGGCCAGGGGTTCCCGAGTGAGCTCGGCCTCGAGCACTGCCAGAGAGGCCCCTAAAAAAATAAGATTAGAGTGATAGTGCAGCAGGTAGGGCCTTTACTTAGCAGGTGGCCAGCCCAGGTTTGATCCCCAGCACCCTCTATGGTCCCCCAAGCCTGCCAGGACAAATCCCTGAGCACAACTGACTGTGACCCGAAAACCAAAAGATTAAAATCACAGAACAACTTATTGGCAGCTCAGCACACCTCCCTTGTGTGTGTGTGTGGGGGGGGGCTTGCCCCTGCCTCTGGAGTGCTCCTCCCACCTTTGGGGGCAGCTGCTGGAGAGGGAACAGGTATCCAAGCACCCCTGGGACCCCGATCCCAGTGCAGATCCCCTCCATGTGTCTCACCAGCAGCCCAGGTGGTCACTGGTGGCCTTTTCCCGTGGGAGGGTTCTGAGCAGGTGTCTGGGAAAGGTCACACGCCATGAAAAACCCTTCTTGGCCAGCGGCTTGACCCTAACAGTGCCACTGCATCTGCTCGGTGCTGGGGAGGCAGGGCGGGTGACCCTGCATGCCTCGTCTGCTGCCTCTTCTTAGTTCACCGCGAAGCAGCTAGAGAAGTTGGCCAAGAAGGCGGAGAAGGACTCCAAGGCTGAACAGGCCAAAGTGAAGAAGGTGAGCTGCTGATCTCACTCCACCCTGGGACGTGGCTGCTGGGGAACAGGCCCTGGGTTGGTGTCCTGCCCGTCCTGTGGGCGTGGCTGCTGTTCAGATAGGCCTTGTGTGGGTGTCCTGCCTTCCTTGGGGGCGGGGCTTTGCGAGACTGACCCTGCCCATGTGCTGGACCTTCCAAGGCTCTCCAGGGCTCAACTCCCGTTCCTGTGTTTCTTTGTTCTGTGTGGGCGGGATGCCCACTAAGCCCTCCATCCCTTTCCTCCCTTCACCACAGTGCCTGAGGGTCCCCTCTGGGTGGAGGCCAGAGATGGATGCCCCAGGCTGTGGTCACCTGGCTGATGCCACAGCTCCAAGAGGGGACGGAACGGACCAGGGGGCTCCAGGCTGACCCTGTGCTATCCCCAAATGCGATGGGTGGAGCTCGTGGAGTGACGACTGCCCAGGAGCTCAGGACAGGAGATGGGGCGGGGGAAGGCACTTGCCTTCGGGCAGCTGAGCTGGGTTCCACGTGGGGCTGATGTGGTCTCCCAGGCCCCACCAGGGGTCCTCTCTGAGCACTGCCTGGTATTGCCCAAAAAACAAAACAGACAAAAACGAGAAGCTGTGGCCCCAGTGCCTTAGTGAGCCCACCTGGATTTCCTGTCTGATCCCTCTGTGGCCTGGGCTCTGGGTGCAGGCTTCGGGCTGGCCATGTTTGTAAAACTGGAGTTGGTGGGAGGGCAGCTGGGCTCTCACTAGCAGACAGCACCCAGGAAAAGCCAGGTCTCACTCGACCAGGACCTTGGCTGCCCTCACCACTACCCCACCCTGTCCCAGGCCCTGCAGCAGAAGAATGTGGAGTGTGCGCGAGTGTATGCTGAGAATGCCATCCGCAAGAAGAACGAAGGCGTGAACTGGCTCCGCATGGCATCCCGGGTGGACGCTGTGGCCTCCAAGGTGCAGACAGCTGTGACCATGAAGGGGGTGAGTACCCGTTGCAGGTGAGTGGGACCCTTTGGCTGGAATCGGTGTTTCTACTGGTTCAGGACCCAGACCTTGCCAGGGACGGCTTCCCTGTCTGAGGTTTGGCTCTGCCCACGGAAAGCACACCCCTTGGGCATCACTGAGGTGCCTCCATGCTCCATGCAGGTGACCAAGAACATGGCCCAGGTGACCAAAGCCCTGGACAGGGCCCTGAGTGCCATGGACCTGCAGAAGGTCTCTGCGGTGATGGACAGGTTTGAACAGCAGGTGCAGAACCTGGATGTGCACACTTCGGTATGTCCACTGCCCACCTCACGCGCCAGGGCGAGGGGAGGGGAGGGGCCCAGACCCCCAAGGCCTGGGCACAGCTGCTCAGCCTGTGGCTTGCACAGGTGATGGAAGACTCCATGAGCTCGGCCACCACACTGACCACACCACAGGAGCAAGTGGACAGCCTCATTGTGCAGATCGCTGAGGAGAATGGCCTTGAGGTCCTAGACCAGCTGAGCCAGCTGCCCGAGGGCGCCTCAGCCGTAGGCGAGAGCTCCGTGCGCAGCCAGGAGGACCAGTTGTCAAGGAGGTAGGCCCATGTGGAGGGTCGGCCGCAGGGGCGAAGGGGGTCCTGCAGGCTGCTCACATGCTGTCCATCCACCTGCACCTCTGCCGTGAGGGGCGGGGGAGAGTGGCTGTTTCAGTCCCGGCCAGCACATGGCTTGGGTGGCCTGGGTCCAGCCTTTCCCTGAGGGGCTCTGTGGTATCCTGCAGGCTGGCCGCCCTGAGGAACTAGGCCGCCGTCCACCTGAAGGGGAGGAGAGCGGCCACCCCTGCCTTCTGCTGACCGTGGCCTCGCTGCTCTCTGCCCACCTGCCAGCCTGGAGCCCTGCCTTGTGCCCGCAGTGGGTGCCTGTCTCTGTGACTACACAAACTTCTGACGTCTCTGGGTAATTCCCATGTCTCTGGGCCGGCCAGCTGTGGACTCACAGACCCTTGTCCCCTGACCCCAGGCATGGACAGGAGCTGGCCAGCGGACGCCTGTAGATCCGTGTGTGTGCAGTGTGCTTCCCCGGCGGCTAGGACCACCCCTTGCCATGCCCCCAGAGGCCTCCCCTCAGTGGCAGCCACCAGGGACAGAATGGGAGGGCCCAGCAGGGTCTGGGCAATCAGCCGCCTCGACCTACGTGCCTGCGTCCCGCAGACCCTGCGAACCCCCCATGCTTGCAGCACGGGCCTCCACCTGCTCCTCCACTGCCCTCCGGCACCCAGTCCTCAGTGAGGTCCTGTCACTATAGAGAGGGGACGTCCCCTGACGTCGGCCTGGGACAGCCTGCCCCTGCGCCTCACCCAGTCCCTGACGTTTACTGTCCTCTCACTGTTTTCACGGTTTCTCTTTGGGTTTTATTTTTGCCAAAATGGAAGGAGCCGGCACCAGGCAGGGCCGGCTGAGCACCTGCTCCAAGCAAGATGCTCAGACCAGTGTGACAGGCCAGGCCAGAGCCTGCCACACGCCCAGCAGACCCCTCTGCCAGTGAGACCCCTGTGAGAGACTGGCTTTCCTTTCTGCTCCGATGAACAGCTGGGGCAGCCGTGGGGCACTGGATGGTGTCGTGTGGATGGGGGCAGCCTCTCAGACCCTCGGACCCCAGTGTCTCAGCGTCCTGGGGCCCCGTGCTCAAGCAGGGATGGTGTTGGGGGAGGCTTTGCAAGAGGCAGCAGAGCTGCCCCTTGTCCTGAAATGCTGTTGTGAATAAACGGATTGTTCCTGAGGACCTGCCCGCCTTTGCTTTGGTGTCTTGGGGGCTGGGGTGTCGGTGTGTCTGGGAGTGTGAGGGTAGAGACACTCTCAAGGCGGAATCTCAATCGCATGAAGATGGGTTTCCAAGTTCAGTGGCACAGCTCCTGTCCCTGGGACTGTGACCCTCTGGGCAGTGCTCCCTGCCCTTCGTGCCACGGGCTGGGGTCTGGTGGCAGCACTGCCGCTGTGCACCTGTTCCAGGCCACATACCTGACGACCCTTCCTGCATCCTGCCAGCGGGCACGGCTGCTGGGTCACCCTGGCACTTCTGCTTCCAAACTCACAGCCTGTATGTACCCATAACAAGACCCGCGCCTGTACGACTGGGTCTGGGTGTGTGTGTGTACATGCCAGGACCCACACCGGTATGACCTGTGTGTGCACTCCAGTCTGTTCAGACCCATGTCAGTCTCAAGGAAACCCAGTCATAAAGTCAGAGGTGCTACCAGCATAGCACACTGGGGGGCCCTGCCAGTCACCCAAGGAGGCTGTGGGAAAGACTGAGGTGGCCGGCCAGAGCGATAGTATAGCATGGAGGGCGTTTGACTTGCACGTGGCTGACCTGCTTTATGTCCCCCGCATCCCCTCTGGTCCCCCGAGGACTGCTAGGAGTGATTCCTGAGTGCAGAGCCTGAAGGAACCGCTGAGCACTGCCAAGTGTGGCCCCAAAACAGAACGAAACAAAGATTGTGTGGAAATGAAGCTGGGAATGGGAGCTAATTAATGCCAGAGCTGTAGCACAGCAAGTAGGGTGTCAACCCACTGCCAACCTGAGTTTGATTCCCAGCATCACCTATGGTTCTCCAAGCACTACCAGGAATTAAATCCCGAGTGCAGTCCAAAGTAACCCCTGAGCACTGCCAGGTGTGGCCCAAAAACCAAAAACAAGACCACCGAAATGCCCGAGGCAACTGTCCCTGAGGGGATCATGCTGAGCCCAACCCTCGGGAGGGCTAAGCTGGCCGAGTGTGTGAGCCAAGAGTCTCATCTCCATCCCTGTGTGGCTCTGCTCATGCCGGGAACCAGTGAGACTGTGTGTGTGTGTGTGTGTGCGTGTGTGTGTGCGTGTGTGTGTGCATGTGCAGATGTGTCAGTGGGGCAATATGTATGTGCACTAGTGAGTGCATGTGTGCAACTCTGCTCTGAACACGTGTACATGTAATGTGAGACAGATGTGACCGAGTGCATGAATGTGTGGAACCATGTGCATGTGAATATGTGTTATATGTGTGTAGGGAGTATGTGTGTGGGTACACAAATACATGCACTGTATAGTTTGTATATGTATGAATACAAGCGTGCATAGGGTGAGCATTGTGTGTGCGTGTGTGTGAATACATCAGTGCTGGCATATATGTGTATGTTGAAAGGGGCAGGTGGAGCCAGGACTGGTGTGAAAAGACCCTCCTCCATATTCCCAGGAAGTCCCTCCTCGAGAGTCTGGGCTCCTGCCTGCCCTGCAGTGCCAGGTGTGCTTATGTCTGGTGTTAGCCCCGGCTGCCCGCTGGGTCTTGGGGGACCCTCCAGCGCCAGGCTGACCACACACCGCTGCAGACTTGAGAGGGTCTTTATTGCGGGTCCACGGTGAGCCCCTGGTGAGGGGTGAGGGAAGCCCTGCACATCACAGCAGACACAGGCTGAGCAGGAGGGCCAGGAGAGAGGCCAGGAGGACCCCTGTCGGGCGGGGGATATGTGGCGCAGCTGAGTAGCCGTAGTTGGTCCTGCAGCCAGGCTCCAGCTGTTCCAGGGCGATGGTCTCCTCCTCGGGGGGCTGCGAGTGGTTGCTTGCCTGTGGACCAGGAGAGGTTGAGGCAGCTGCCGCGATGGCTGGGTAGGGGGGTGAGTGCTGCTGTTCTCACCTTCTCTACGTCACTGAAGACCCTGATAAGGTTCTCTGACAGGGCACCCTGGACCTCTGCTTCCGTCCACTGTCTCCGGAGCAGCTCGGCGATCAGGTCTGGGTACTTGGACACGTCCTCAAGGCCCACAGGCAGCCTGAGGTGGGGCAGAAATCCAGGCTCTGCTTCCACAGGGGGCTGAGGGCCCACCCGCAGCCCCAGACCCCTCACCCAAGGCACCAGAGACTGGGGGGCCCCAATCCTCCCAGCCCTGCCCCTTACCTGGTAACCCCATCAAAGTCCCCACCGAAGCCCACAGCCCCGGCTCCAGCCACGTTCTTGATGTGGTCCAGGTGGTCTGTGGGAAGCAGCCGAGTGGGCCTCTCAAAGCCAAGACTGCAAGGGGTGGGGGGTGTTGGGGAAGGCTCAGGACAGAGGCGCGGGCACTCCACCCACCTGCCACCTGGGACAGGTTGGCCTCCCTTTGGCAGGACACGTAATCGTTGTAGAAGTTCACCATGACCAGGCCGCGCTTCTCCTTCTGCTCAGAGGGGGGTACCGTGAGAACCGGTGGGGGTGGGCGGGGGAGGGCGGCAGGGGACACCTGGTCCCCCCAGGACCCTCACCACCAGCCGCAGCACGTTGTCCGGCACGTTGCGGTGGTGGGCACACAGAGAGAAGGCCGAGGAGTGGCTGAAGATGACCGGGGCTGTGGACAGCTCCAAGGCGGCCTGCATGGTGGCCAGGGACACATGGGCCAGGTCCACGATGACACCCAGTCGATTCATCTCCCTCAGTACGCTCTGCGGGGACACAAACAGGAAGGGCTGGACGAAGGGCTGGGCGGGCTGGGGTCAGGGCAGGCAGTCTGATGTTGGATATGCTGGGGGGCGGGTTGGAGGCGGGGCTGAGGGCAGGGCTTGGAAGACTGGGGCGGGGCCTGCGTGGTGGAGGCGGGACTGGCGGGCTGGAGGTGGGGCTTGGTTGAGTAGGAGCGGGGCTTGGTGTACAGGGCGGGGCTTGGAGGATGTTGCTCAGGGCCTGAGGGCTGGAGGCGGTGCTCAGTGGACTGGAGGGTTTGGTGCGCTGGGGGTGGGGCTGGTCATTCAGGGCTGAGCGGGCTGGGGGTGGGGCTGGTGGACTGGGGGCAGGGCTGGCTGGCGGCGGGGTTGGTGGGCTGGGTGGGGCTTGCAGGCCGGGGATGGGGCTTAGCTGACTGGGCGGGGCTTGGTTGGCTGGGGGCGGGGCCTGCGGGCTGGAGGCGGGGCTGGTGGGCTGGTGGGTGGGGCTTGGTGAACAGGTGAGTTTGTTGGGCTGGGGGCGTGGGTTGGCGGGCTGGGGCGGGGCTTGGTTGACTGGGGGCGGGGCTTGTCGGACTGGAGGCGCAGCCTGCGGGCTGCAGGAGGTGGGACTGGCTGGCTGAGGAGGGGCTTGGTGGGCTGGGGGCGGGGCTGGCTGGCGGCGGGGTTGGTGAGCTGGGTGGAGCTTGCAGGCTGGGGGCGGGGCTTAGCTAACTGGGAGGGGCTTGGTTGACTGGCGCGATGCCTGCGGGCTGGAGGCGGGGCTGGTGGGCGGGGGGAGCTTGGTAAACAGGAGAGTTTGTTGGGCTGGGGGCGTGGCTTGGCGGGCTGGGGCGGGATTTGTCGGACTGGAGGCGCGAGGCGGGACTGGCTGGCTTTGGAGGGGCTTGGTGGACTGGGGGCGGGTTTGGTGGTCTGGGGGCGGGGCTGGCTGGCAGCGGGGTTGGTGGGCTGGGTGGGGCTTGCAGGCCGGGGGCGGGGCTTAGTTGACTGGGCGGAGCTTGGTTGACTGGGGGCGGGGCCTGCGGGCTGGAGGCGGGGCTGGTGGGCCGGTAGGTGGGGCTTGGTGAACAGGTGAGTTTGTTGGGCTGGGGGCGTGGGTTGGCGGGCTGGGGCGGGGCTTGGTTGACTGGGGGCGGGGTTTGTCGGACTGGAGGCGCGGCCTGCGGGCTGGAGGAGGCGGGGCTGGCTGGCTGAGGAGGGGCTTGGTGGGCTGGGGGAGGTTTTGTTGGGCTGGGGGCGGGGGTGGCTGGCTGCGGGGTTGGTGGGCTGAGTGGGGCTTGCAGACCGGGGGCGGGGCTTAGTTGACTGGGGCGGGGCCTGCGGGCTGGAGGCGGGGCTGATGGGCCGGTAGGTGGGGCTTGGTGAACAGGTGAGTTTGTTGGGCTGGGGGCGTGGGTTGGCGGGCTGGGGCGGGGCTTGGTTGACTGGGGGCGGGGCTTGTCGGACTGGAGGCGCGGCCTGCGGGCTGGAGGAGGCGGGGCTGGCTGGCTGAGGCGGGGCTTGGTGGACTGGGGGCGGGTTTGGTGGGATGGGGGTGGGGCTGGTCGCTCGCTCGGGGCTGGGCGGGCTGGGGGCCGCATGGGCCGCGGGGGCCGTGCAGCTCCCGGCGGGGCGAGCTTCAGCCCACCTGCGCTGGGGCTTCCCGCACGCCCTGCGAGCTCCCCAGATCCCATCAGAGAGGGTGGTCGTGGCCTGCCCCTCCTCACCTTCCCAAAGTGGGACAGCCCTCCGCTCTGGGCCGCATCGTCCCCCGTGTCCACCAGCCAGTTGTCGGCCCTGCAGAGCAGAGAGCCGGTGGGCCGGAGGGTCGCGGCGGGCACTCGCCGGGGCGGGCGCGGGGCGCGGGGCGCGGGCGGGCACTCACCAGGGCGTGTTGCAGCTGTGCGTCAGCGTCAGGTAGCGCATGCCCAGGCTGTAGAGTGCGCGCAGCACCCCCAGGCTGCTGTCCAGGGAGTGGCCGCCCTCCACGCCCACCAGGCTGGCCACCTTGCCCTTCCGGAAAGCCTCCCGGATCCCTGGGTAAGAACAGGGTGAGCGCGGCGGGGTCGGACGCGCGAAAGGGGTGGGGCGGGGCCGGGGGCGGGTGGGCCAGCGCAGGGGGTCAGGGCCGTGGGGGGACAGAGGCACCGGAGGAGACCTGTGGGGTGTGCGGTGGGGCCCGGATCCCGCGCCCACCTGCGCTGTCGGTGACGCAGGCGAAGGTGTCCGGGTACATGCCGCACATGCGCTGAATGACGTCGATCTGCTCCAGCGTCCTCTTCACGGCGTCCTTGTTCTGGGTGTCGCAGGGCACGTACGCGGACCAGAACTGCGGGCCACAGGGCAGGGCTGGGGGCTGCGGCCACCCCACCCCGCCCCCACCTCTGGTCCCTGCTGTGCCCCAGGAGACTGAGCCAGGTGCTGGCCCTACCTGGCCCCCCACGAAGCCGGCCTTGAGCTTGGGGATGTTGGTGTGCGTGGTCTCCAGGCTGTGCAGGTCGGCCCCGGGGGCGCGCAGCTGGTTTTTAAACTGCTTCAGTAGCTGCCACGGCAGGTCGTTGTGTCTGGGGGCACACACCGCTCATGAGGGCCGGGCACGCTCTGGTCGTTCCTGCACCCAGCACCTCCCTGCCGCAGGTCCCTGCACCCCGGCAGGAGATGGTCACAGCACCCAGGACCAGGCCATGTGTGAATGCGGCACAGTGGCCAGGAGTGGCCACTGGTCAAGAGGGGTCAGGGGTGGTCAGGGGTGACCGGTGAGTGGGGAACCTTGGGCGGGCTTGTCCAGGGTCCTCTGGCTGGCGAGGTGAGGGGCTCACGAGGGGGCAGGCCCCGGGGAACCTCCCTCGGGCTCCTGAGACCTGCCCCAGGGCAGCCCCTCGGTCCCTCTGCCCTTAGCCAACCCAGGACACCTGTTCTGTGGTCAGCCCCTCTGACCAGGGTTCCACCAGCCCCCTCCCACTGTTGCCCCTGGGAGGGCCAGAACTGAGAATGCCCCCTGCGGGAGCCCTCCTCCTAATGACAGCTGCCGGGCATGGCCAGTGAGGGGTTCAACTGGCCTCGCCACACTGTCTAGGACAGGATGTGGGCTCTCGCGCCTGCCCTTTGCCCCTTTGTCCTAGCGGGATTGCCAGGTGATGACTGCGGCCAGTTCTCGTGAAGTGGCAGTGGGGATGGCAGCCACTGAGCCTCTGGAATCCCCGAGCCCCCAGCCTGGCGGACCAGCCCCTCGGCTGCCTGGGTGGGTGTCCCTTGGCCAACCCCAGCAGGAACAGCAGGTGCTGAGAACAGCAGGTGCTGAGCCGTGCTCCCCGGGATGCAAGAGGGCACAGCCTCATGGAGGAGGGGGCCTCCAGGCAGGACTCACAGGACACACACTGGCTGTGTCTGGGGGCCCACACCACTCAGGAGGGCCTTCTCACTCCCAGGCCCAGAGGGCCTCGGGGCTGGGGTGAGGAAGGCCCCAGTGGGACGGGGTCACGGGTTGGAAACTGTCGGGGACAGTGCGAGCTTGGCGGCATGGGAGCTGGGTGGACCTCACAGCGAGGCCCAGTGCTGGCCAGAGGGGGCCTGGCCCCGGGATCACTGCCAGGGGCACCAATAGGAGGCCCCCAGGGCCTGAGGCTCCCAGAGAGGAGAAGGAGGCTGCCCCCCACTCAGCACCACCCACACCCCCTAACGGAACTCTGGTCCAGGGCAAGACACAGGTGCTGGCGCCCTTGGTGGCTCCCGCCTCACCCCCGTCGCACGCGTCCTTCTCTTCAGAAGCTTCCGGGGGCCCTGAAGGCCCGTGAGGTGAGGCCAGGGAAGGTCAGGACCCCGGGACCAGGCTGGCTGCTCACCCGTCGATGACAGGCGTGTTCTGCATGATCCTCTGCGCCTGGTCCCTGAACTGGTCAGCAGCGCAGACAGCCACGAGGGCCCAGAACCAGCAGGTGGGCTGCATGACGGGCGGCCGGCTCTGCTGCTCGTGTTCCGGTCCAGCTGCAAGGGGAGAGCAGAGGCCTCTGCCTGGGAACTTGGGCAGGTGCCTCCTTTATTGCCGTTCAATCAGTAACAAGCCCCTGCGGGCGGGGCTGCCACTGCCTGGAGGAACCCAGGAGGAGCCGCTGGGGGCAGGGCAGGAAGATGAAAGGAAGGAAGCATGGCGATGTCCCACATGACCGTGACTGCATGCATGACTGGGGCCTGGCCGAGACCAGCCAACAGAGACACCCTCTTCCACAGGGACACCCACACACAGCACATGGCCCTGACTGGGGGCTGTTCTCACTGCTCAGCGGGCCCCTACGGCCTGCTGCGGTGCCTGGGTGGGCTGCTGGCCCAGGGAGCTCAGGGGGCTGCTCTCCGGCTATAAACGTTGGACTTTGGGGTTTGGGAGAGAAGCTCTGAGTGTCAGCGTTTCCTGAGAGCTGGGCGCATTCCACTACCGCCTGGGACATTCCTGCTGCCAGACAGGGCAGGGGTCCCTTGTGTGCTGCTCAGTCCCCAGGACGGCTCAGTCTCTTCTCCACCCAGGCTGAGACATGGGGACACTTCAGCCAGCCTGCAGCCTCAGTTCCCCTCCTGTTCCTCTGTGTCACCGGGCGCCCCCAGGAGAACAGACTGTGTCTGGTGCTTGGCTCTGGTCCCCGTGAGTATGAACATGGCACCTGTCCAGTTCTCACTTTCCTGCCTCCCGGGTCTAACCTGTCCTTTCCCCAGCCACAGACTTTCTTCAACTCTGGAGATCTTTGCCACAAGCCTGGCATCAAAACGAAAAACAGTCCAGTCAAGCAGGGGCCTGGGCAGGGTCTGACACCCATGGCCGTAAGCACATACCAAGTCCACGAGAACCTGAGAGAACAGTGGACCCCTGGAGGGTCCCCAACATCACCCAGGGCCCAGTCACCACCCCCTGTGATCATGGGCCAGAGATAGCACAGTAGTTAGGGCTCTTGCCATGTAGGCCAACGCATGTTTAATCCCCAATGGCCCATATCGCCCCCTGGGCCCCCAGGAGTGATTCCTAGCACAGAACCAGGGGTAAGTCCTGGGTACAGCTGGGTGTGGCCCCAACAACACACACACATACACACACACCAGAATCCACCCACCACACTCCTAGGATCTACTCTGGGATCTAGTCCTCACACTTTTCTGGGATCTACCATGAGATCCACCCACCACAATCCCAGGATCCACCCTGGGATCCAGTCACAACACTCTTGGGATCCAGCCCACACACTCCCAGAATCCAGTTGCCACACCCTGGAATCCAGTCATCACACTCCAGGATCTAGGTCACACTCTGGAATTCAGTCCCTACACTTCCAGGATCCAGTCACCACATCCACGGGATCCAGTACCCACAGCCTGAATCCAGCTTTCACACTCCTGGGCTCCAGTTCTCCAAACTCTGGGATCTAGGGCCCACCACCAGGGATACAGTCATCACACTCCCGGGACCCAGTCCCCACGCTCCTGGGGCCTGGTCACCAAGCTCCTGGGACCCATGGGCTCTTTCTCTTTGGCAGCCTGAGCTTCTTGCGGTCCTGGCAACCTTGCCGAAGTGTCCCTTTGGCTCCCTCCCCTGCGTCTGAGCGCGTGGCGGCCCTGAGGCTCTTCTTCCCTCGTCCTTGCCCTGCTCCAGGGTACCGTAAGACTTGGGGTAGGGTCATGTGAGGGTAGTGGCCGTAGGGCACTGGGCTTGGGCTTTGGGTCCAGCAGCCTGGCTCCAGGTTTCTAGAAACATCCACCCCTCACTCTCCTTCCTCTGGGTCGTGGCCTGTCCCCAAGGCAAGTCTGCAGGCAGGACCCAGTAATGCCACTTAGTCTGACCCCCAAGCTCCCTTGCCCCCTACATCCCTGCTGGTCTGGAAGGGCCCAGCCAACAGTGCTGTCGAACCCTGACCCCAGTGATGGGAGCTGTCTCCCCTCGAGAGAGGCTGCTGAACAGACGCAGGGGGAGCCCTCTCTCACTCAGCCTCACACGTGTCCGTCCTCAGAGGGCCCTAAGCCCCAGTTGCAGGTTCAGACAACACGGGCCTGTTGGGCAGGGCGGGCCAGGGACTGGGAGGACAACCTGAGGCCGCCCTCGGGGCCATCCCTCTTGGGCCTGGAGCCACTTCCCAGATCAGTGACCCTCTGTGAGAACCACTTAATCATATCACATGTACTGAATCATCAACTGAAAATGCGACATCAACAAATAGTTTCCCAGAAATAGAATCCACACTGTGAAAATAAACAGGAACACCCAGCACGGCTGTTAGACCCCAGCCAGGCACAGGCAGACCCGGCCGGTCACTTTCTCTGGGAGAAGCTGGAGCCACCAGACCCCAGGGAAGCCTCAGGAGCCAGCACCCTCCCCAGGTCGCCCTATTCCCCAGGGACGGGCGGCCACCAGCCAGGGTGAAGAAGCTTCGTCTCAGCGTGCACGCTCCACGCACAGGCAGCACACAGAAACACAGAGCACAGCTGAGCCCACGGCCCAGGCCTGAGAAGCCTGACTGCGCCCCACATACACACTACAGGCAAGCTTGTGCAGAAGTCATGCCAGTGACATGTGGGACACACGGCTGTGAGCTTATCCACGTGTGCACATGCATGCAGCAGACATGTGCATGCTTGCGTGCATGGCAGATATGTGCAAACACGTGTGACCTATACATGTGCATGAGCACACACAAGACAGCCACAGGCTTGCCACACCCAGACGCATGGGCAGGTACCTGGGCGCTCTGAGACGCTGAGGCGCCCACAGCCGCCTCATGTTTGGAAGCAAGCATGCACTCAGCCGTCCAGACCTACAAACACACCACACACAGCCACACACCACACACACCACGCACACACACGCACACCACACACACACACACACACAGGTGCACATGATACACATGCACACACACACCGCATACACATGCACACGCACACACACACGAGCACACACACACACACAGCCCACAAGCACAGAATAATCAGACTCAGATGTGGGAGCCAGACGAGGCCGTACAGTGCCCCACGGCGCAGGGTGGGACCCTCATGAGCCTCCTTGTCTGTTGTGGGCTTCCCGAGTCCACCTCAAGGCCGGGTGCCTGGGGCAGGGTAGGGGGTCCTTTCCCTGGAAGCTGGGCGGCTTCTCTCTGGTTTGCTGTGTCTGGGGACAGCAGTGTGCCCTGGCTCCAGGACCCATGCAAGATGACCCATGAGAGCCTCTCCCATTCAGTTGACACGGGGGACCCCGTCCCAGTGTGTCCTGCTGTCCAGAGCTGCCCGAGCCTGGCGGACACCCACAGGGCAGGCGCTCACTGCCGGCAGCAGCCCCCAGCAGAAGCCCCTCCAAACTCACCGCAGAGCAAGGGAGCGCCCGGGAAACGCAGGGAGGGGCCGTGACCACGTGTCTCTGGAGGCCCGGGGTCCACTCGGTTCCGGGGGTCCGTCTGCTCCTCTCCCTCAGCTGCACAGCCGCTCCTTCAGTGTGCCCCACGAGCGGGGCTGGGGGCTGTTGTCTTACACAGCTGGTTCTTGTTTCCGAGTCCCGCAGAGCAGCCGCCCCGACGCTCCTCCCCACGGCCTCAGCCCCCTCGGCACACACGGGGCAGGCGGGACTGTGGGAGACGGGCTGTGGAGGCCGGGCTGCGGCCAGAGGCTGTCCCTCCACAGCTGCAGTGAAGAGACGGTACTGCCCGGGTCCCGGCACACGGCGACCCTCTCTGAGCCCGGGCCCTGCCCGCCAGGCTCAGGCTGGGGCACACAGGGTGGGATGGGCTCCAGCCGGCCCCTATCTGTGACGGGTGGTGTCCCCTGGTGCTCACAGCCCGCGCAGCAGAGCAAATATGAATTGGAATGTTTCTGGCAGGGCACAGTGACTGTCAAAAGCAGGGAGGGTCCTGCCGGGGACGCGGCAGGAAGATGGCTCGGCTCACCAAGAAGCGTTCTTCCGGCTGGGCAGGAGACCCCCTCCCCAGGCAGGGACCCTCAGTCTCGGGCCTCAGCAGCTCTCATCTAACTCCACAGGGGGCTCTGGCCCAGTGCTCTGGTGTCCCCTCGGGTCAGGGCTGAGTCAGGATTGCTCGCTGACCAGCCAACGTGGACGTTGAAGCAGGCTGGAGACGCAGCCAGACAAGGGCCCTGCTGGGAAGTGGCTGACCGCACCCTCAGGTGACTCGACAGCTGGAGACAGAACCCCAGGGGTCTCCACTGCCCTTGGCGTCCACCTTGGTGAGAAGGAGGTAGGGAGACTCTGGGGAGGGGCAGACCCCGCAGGGACACTTCCCGGGGCCCTGCCCCGTGCCCTGCAACCTGCTGAGGCCAGGTGACCCCCAGCTGCTGCGTGGTGGATAGGCCGGGCACCCCTGCACTGGCCCCTGGGTCTTGGCCAAGCAGGCGCATGCTGGAGACAGGGTGAGGTCCATGTGCCCAGCCCCAGACACGCAGTCAGGCGCGCTCTCCGTCCCTGCAGCCCCGGCTCCATCCTGGGCCCTCGGCTGTCTCTGGACCCTCTCTCCTGTGGCCCTCCCAAGACTGCATAGCACAGAGAGGCTCAGAGCCGGACCCAGGAGGTCCCCACAGCACTGTCCTGCGTCCACCATGGCCAGTGCTGCAGTCTGCAGAGGCATGGCTCAAGGCCTGTGTGACCACGTCTGGCTCTTTGCTGAGTTTCTGCCTTTGGGCTGGGCGGAGGGTGGGGGAATTAAGATGCTACTGCCCAGACCTGGGCCCTTGCCCTCCCCTGCCTACGTGGGGGCCAAGGAGTGGGGACACTGGTCTCCGCTGCCCCCCTGCCAGGGGTTTCTTCGTAGCCTCAGGGAACCTGCCTGGGGCCTTTGATACACAGAACTTGGCTCCAGGGGAAGGCGGGAGAGGCCCTGATCATCTCTGTTGGCAACACCAGCTGCCCCACCTATGCGTCCTTGTCCGACCTGGCACAACTTAGGGTGTGGACCCCAATTACAGCAGGTGCGACAGGGCAGGGAACCCCTGGTCATGCCCTCAAGGCATGACCTCAAGGTTGGGCAGGGCGTGTCTGTTCCATCTGGGAGGGAGAGAGGGCCAGTGGGTATGGGCAGTGGAGTGCCCACACCCCACTCCACGGGTGCAGGGCATTTCTCACGCCCCCTCCAAGGCTGCCCAGGGTCCACTCACCTGCTCTGTGGTTGAGGGCACCACCAGGCTGGGCTCTCGGTCTGTTGTCAGCAGGTTTATGGGCTCTGGAACCCCTGAGCTGAGCTGTCGCTGCCGGCTCCAGAGCACGTCGCCAGGCACTGGGCAGCAGCAGGACTCTTGTCAGCCAGAGGTCGCAGCGGGCAGCGCCGGCACGTGGCCAGGAGGAGCACCAAGCCCAACACTGCCTGGTGGTACTGGCCTGTCCCCGTTCTGCTGCGGGAGTCTGAGAACCCGGAGAGCACATTTCCCTTCTCTGTCAGGGCTCCTGGCCAGGGCATGAGGAGCCTCATCTGGGCAGTTTCTGGACAGAGCAAAAGAATCCCAGTGAGGAATCGGAAGCAGGAGTGAGACTGATTTGAGCTCAGGGCTTGCTCCTGGCTCTGTGCTCAGGGGCACTCCTGGTGGTGCTCAGGAGACCATATGGGGTGCCAGGGATTGGACCGTATGCAAGGTAGGGGCTCTGCCCATTGTGATATCTCTCTGGCCCCCAGAACACGGCCTTTGTCCCTGAGGTATAGGAAGTATGGCCCGGCCTCTCCCCAGGGAAAGGCACCACACTGTGAGCTCGTTGACAAGTGGTTCCCTGCCACAGGTCCCCAGCGGACTGGGCAAGGCTCAGGGCTACTGGAATGTGACCACAGCAAGTGGACTTTGGGCTCTCCTTCTCTGACCTGAGGCCTTGTGGATGGCCCCAGGCCTGGCCTCCCACGCGGGGCAGCCTCACTGGGCCCTGGGTCCAGCTCTGCCCGCTCTGGAGAGGGCCACAGTGATTTTGAGGCCCCACTTGCAGGTGGTGGGTGAGGGTCCTTGGGGACCCCCCGGCCCAGCAGCAGCTGCCACCCTAGTATCTGGGGGCCCCACGGGCAGCTCAGCCTGAAAAGATGGTGCTCCTCACCAGTTGCCCCCCGTGAGCGGCTCTCCGGCACAGCCATGGCTCCAGAGCACAGAAACCGATCTCTTAACTATCTGACTCTCAGTAGAAATACTTCCAGGGTCAATAGGTAAAAGAGCACGAATCCAAAACATTATTTAACTCTTGAACCCAGCTGTAGAAAGCAGATCATTTCACAATGCTTTTTCAGCATTCTGATTTGGGCGGGGGGTAAACTCTAAATAATAATGGTGCATCTTTTATTGAAACAGTGAATCTAGTCAAAGTAGATAGAGTGTTAACTAGAATTCATCTGCCTCACAGGCATTGGGGGGTGGGGGTGGGGGTTTATTGGGGTTCTTCATGGTGAAAAATAAGTATTGGTAAAGGGTAATGTGTTTGATATTTGCACGACCAAGACCTAAACCTGAAAGCTTTGTAACTTTTCCCACAGTGATTCAATAAATAAATTATTTTTTAAAAAAAAGAAAGAAAGGATGGTGCTCCAGAGGGAGGGGCCTCGGGTCCCACTGCAAGGCTGACTGGGGAGTTGTGGGGATGAGGGCACGCCAGGCAGGGGGTATCGGGAACAAAAGCGTTAAGTGAGATAGACAGCGAGAAGGGCTGGGTGGGTGGCGGGGGTCACCTTTAGGATGCAGGGTATGTCCACTGGGTCTTGTAACTGCTTTGTCTCCTTCTGCTCCTTCTCCCAGAGAAGGTTCCCCTGAGCCAAACCCACTTTAGAGACCCACCCCATGAGCCACATCATGGTTGAGCCAAGTACAGGGAGGAATTTGACTATGGCCGACCTGGGTTCAATCCCTGGCATCCCGTATGATCCCTGAGTCCTACCAAGAGTAATTCCTGAGCGCAGAGCCAGGGTTATGGGTGTGGCTCAGAAAACAAAATAAAACTAACAAAACAAGATTTAATCTGGTTAGATTGGCATAGCCAGGCAAATATCTGTGTTTGCCCTGATCTTCTGAGGAATGTTGGTTTAAAACCATGAACAGAGGGACTGGAGCAATAGCATAGCAGGTAGGGCGTTTGCCTTGCACGTGGACGACCCGAGTTCGATCCCCGGCATCCCGTATAGTCCCCTGAGCACTGCCAGGAGTAATTCCTGAGTGCAGAGCCAGGAGTAACCCCTGAGCATTGCTGGGTGTGATCCAAAAAGGAAAAAAAATATAAATGGAATATGCTTTCAATCTTAAGCAGGCAGGCAGACAGGGAAGGACACTCTCTTTCACACTAATGAGCAGGGGAACTATTATAAAACCATTTAATAATAAAACCCAAGGCTGCCAGAACCCACCTATGAACATAGGAACTAAAGCCTGATAAGACCGTCTATCTTCACTTTCATTCCTTCCCATTCTAGTCATCACATGACGTTCTTGAGGGTGGCACTGAAGAGTTTCGGTGAAATGTTATTGCCCTGCCGAACCCCTCTCTTGACATCAATGATCACTTCCCTGTAGAAGTGATCAATGATCACTTCCCTGTAGAATGGTGATATCCTGGTAGTGAATCCATAATATAGCTCACGGAGGACCCTGATGAATGCCCTGTTTGGCTAGGGCTTCGATGACCACTTCCGTCTCAACAGAATCAAAGACCTTCTTTAAATCAATGAATGTTAGACAGACCTGAACAAATCTCAAGGCTGAACTAGGCTGCCAAAACAAAGAAAGACAAAAATGACTGTCTGTACTTTCAATGCACGTATGCTGGCATCAGATGCATCCATCGAGGACCTGATGGTACAAGCGCGAAAGATCAAGTACGACATCATTGGTCTGACTGAGACCAGAAGTCATCAGACGTTTTCGACACTGGAGAAGAACTGTTCCTTGTTACATACGACAAAAGAGGCGTTGGTGGTGTTGGTGTCCTTGTCGACCCGAACTTGGCCATAACTTAGCTTAGCAGGGACCTTCTTTTACTCCTCTTCTGCGCGCTCCATGGTTCCAGCCAGAAAAGAGGACAGGAACGAATTTTATTTTATTTTATTTTTTGTTGTTGTTGTTCTTTTGCTTTTTTTTTTTTCATTTTATTCTTTTGCCTTTAGCCTTCTTCCCCCCCCCCCTTTTGGGTCACACCTGGAGATGCTCAGGGATCACACCTGGCTTTGCACTCAGGAATCACTCCTGGCAGTGCTCAGGGGACCATATAGGATGCTGGAAATTGAACCCGGGTCAGCCGCGTGCAAGGCAAATGCCCTACCTGCTGTGCTATTGCTCCAGCCCCAAGGAAGGAATTTTAAAGAGACCACCAACTCCTCCCAACTCTACCCTTTGGCAGCCCTCCCTAACAACAGACTCTTAACTAGGTAGAAGCCCTGCGGGCAGCTTGGGAAAAACCTGTAAAAGCCAGCGGAAACAAAGGAAGGTCACACTCTGCTGCCCAGGGCTCCCGCATCTCCCCCC